GGAGACGAGGGAGGGACGGGTGACCAAGGCGGTGGTGCCAGAGGAGGGCAGGGTGGGACAGCGACCGACACGAGCACGACGCAGCCACTAGACCTGGCACAGCTACCTAACTGGACCTGGCTACCTGGTGGGACGGGGGAACCGGACGGGTGTCGGTGTGGAGGGTGTACAGACCAGAGCCCGGCTCCTGACGAAAAGTGGCCAGAGGGGCGTACGTGTCACCGTCCACACAGACTGCAGTGTCACCCGAAGGCTCAAACCAGACCCCGACGTGCTGTCTCGCCAGAGGAGCCACACCAACCAGGTTCCTAGAGAAAGTAGGAACGTGGAGGCCGGTCAGAGAACCGGAAGGGGCAGCTGGGCACGGGAGGGTAGTGGCGTGAGTCGCAATGACTGGTCTCGAAGAGGGATCGGCCAGTGCTACAGAAATCGGCGCCGAGAGTGGAGTAAGAGTCGTGCTGTCGCGGAAGAAGCACTGCGTCGCTCCGGAGTCGAGTGTGAAGGAGAGCGACGCGTCCGCCGAGGGAGCACCTGTACTAGTAGCTAGACAGGATCCTACACCAGCACCTACTCTAGCAACAGGCAAAGATCCTACGCTAGGTATAGGCAAGTAAACAGATCCGACAGCACTATAGTCAACATCAGCATACATGGCATAAGACCTAGCATCATCCATAGACATATCAAACACAGCAACACCACGAGCAAGGAGTGGTCCCCAGCGCGGTGGCGGGGGAGCGGAGGGACCGTGGTGCAGGACGTACAGGTCGTCAAGACGGCTGAAGCAGCGTGCAGCAGAGTGGTCAGGGCGGCCGCAGTACGTGCCCCTGCGCGGACCCGTCAGGATCCAGTACTCACAGGGACCAACGTCGCGGCCGGCCGAGCGGGGTCCCCGACTAGAAGGGGCACCACTGCGCCCAGTGCTCGGGGGGCCCGTAGGTCTCCACTGCTGCGGGGGGGCCCACTGCTGCGAAGGGCCCCACTGCTGCTGAGTGCCCCACTGCTGCAGAGTGCCCCACTGCTGGGGCTGCTGCTGAGGCGGACGCTGCTGTTGGCCCAGGCGCTGCTGCTGCTGTCCCTGCCGCTGCTGCTGTCCAGGCGGTGGCAGCTGCGGAGGAGTCTGCTGCTGCTGCTGCGAAAACCCCTCACCACCGTCTAGAGGAGAGCCGTCAGGTCCCGAGTCACCCCCGCCGCCACCCCCGCCACTAGTACTACCGCCACCGCCGCCACCCGCAACACCCCCAGAACCCCCGCCGCCCTTCCCTCCCTTCTTGCCGGACTTGCCACGTTTCTGTCCGCCAGAGACAGAAACGGCCGCCGTCTCCTCAGAGGCAGAAGACGCGGCAGTGGCAAGCGAGGCAGCGAAGGTGGGAAGCTGTGGTACCGCACACCCCTCAAAGAGACAAGGAGGAGGCGCGGAAGAGGCGGAGGCAACAGCGAGGAGGTTACTCTCGATCTTCGAGAGAGCGGTCTCAAGAAGATCGATAGTAAGCTCAGTGGGGTGCTTCAGGAGAAGCGCATCGCGGGCTGTGGCTAGACGGTCAGGGAGGCGAGTGACTAACCAGTGAATAGTGAGCCACATGGGGGGGGGTGCAAGGGCAAGCTGTTCCTCAGTGCAAGCGGCCTTGAAGCGAGCTTCAAGGGAGCGCAGGTGGGTAGCGAGGTCAACGACAGTCTCAAAGGAGGCGAGGTCAGGGTAGATAAAGGGGACGAGGAGGCGGCTGAGAGAGGCAGAGGAGGGAGTTGAGTAGCGAGCAACAATAGCAGTGTAAAGGTCTGCAGCAGACTCGACCTGAGTGAAGTGGACAGCCTCAGTCGGCGGGAGAAGGTCGGTCAGGGCGAGGCAGGCAGCAGCGTCACGAGACTCCCACACGTCACGAGCGAGGAACCGGCGCTGGTACTCAGCCTCCTGCTCGGAAGTAGGCGGTGGGGTAGTGGGCAGCGGTGAAGGCTGCGGCGGGGCGGGCAGAGCACCGGACGCATGCGCAAACAGGTGCACGCCATCCTGGCGCTGGCTCCTAAGGTGGCGCTGGGCCTGCGTCAGCCAGGTACTAAAGTCGATCGCACGCCCCTCAGGGTTGAAACGGAGCACGCGAGACGTCGCCATGAGGGGCGAGGACAAGTGATAGCGGCCGCCAGCCGCGTGAGGAGGAGGAGAGGGAGGTGAGTGCGAGGCGGGTGCGTGCAGGCGGGGCGCGCACTGGCTGGGCGCGGGGCGGCGGGGCGCGCTCCGGCGCGGCGCGCTGGCTGGCGTGGCGCGCGGGGCGCGGCGCGCTGGCGGGCGGCTAATCAGGGCGCGCGCTGGCGGGCGCGGCGCGCTGGCGTGCGCGCTGGCGGGGCCCGCTGGCGTGGCGCGCTGGCGGGCGCGCTAGCGGGCGCGCTGGCGTGCGTGCTGGCGGGCGCGCTGGCGAGCTCGCTGGCGGGCGCGCTGGCAGGCGGGCCGGCGGGCTCGCTGGTGCGCCCGCTGGCGGGCGCGCTGGCGGGCTGGCGTGCAAGCGGGCTGGCGCGCAGGCTGGCTGGCGCGCTGGCGGGCTGGCGCGCTGGCTGGCTGGCGCGCTGGCGGGCTGGCGCGTTGGCTGGCTGGCGCGCAGGCTGCTGGCGCGCTGGCTGGCTGGCGCGCTGGCTGGCTGGCTGGCGCGCAGGCTGCTGGCGCGCTGGCTGGCTGGCGCGCTGGCTGGCTGGCAGGCGCGCTGGCTAAGGGCGGGGAGGGGAGGGGCGCGCCGGCTGGGGCGTGGGGTAGGGCGCTGGCGGGCTGGCAGGGTGCAGTGGTAACCCTAGTGGTAGGGAAGGGCGGGCCTAGGACTAGGAGCGCTAACCTACTGCTGATACCATGTCAGAATGAGAACTACAGCGGAATGCGTTGTATTGACAGAATTGGGGTACATCACCTAACCCTAACTAGTTGTACCCCATATAGCCCAACCCACTACAGGCTATAATATTTGACACACTAACACATGTCTGTCTGCCACCACAGGGTGCCCTCCACAAGGTACTGCTCCTCCCATGCATAAACCCACCCCTACTCTGTGACAAGCATTTCTCCTGCAACAAAGGTTGCTGCAGTAGCTTAATATATCTCATTTTGCATGTCAGCTTCATCCATATTACACAAGCAGCATGTCTCTATGTGCAGCATATTGCAGCGCTTATTTCACATGTACAAAACAGGGATCTGTGCCAGGGGCAAAAGCACAGTTAGAGCAGCAGCAGAGCAGAGCAGAAGAGTGCACGCAAGGGCGGAAGGGGCCACAAGGAGGGTCACCGGGCTTCAAACTGCACAACTGGTCACACAGAGGGTCGGAGGGTGGGAAACGGACACATGGTGGGAAATGGTTTAGCAGGAGAAGTTAGGATGGGGCATGCAGGGCGGACAAGTGCAGGGGCGAGATGTTGGGATGGTTAATTGTGACATGGTGAGATGGTAGCATGCTCGCATGGTGAGATGGTGTCATGGTTGATTGTGGCATGGTGAGATGGTAGCATGGTCGCATGGCGAGATGGCGGCATGGTTAATTGTGGCATGGTGAGATGATAGCATGGTCGCATGGTGAGGTGGTGGCATGGTCACAGGGACTCGGAGCAAGAAGATGAGGGTGAGAATTAATTGAGAGAAACAACAGCTTAGTGAGAGCAATGACACAACAAGAAGCAAACGAGGTTACCATGTAAAACAAACAGAACAAAACATGATCTGGAACAAGGGTTCGGGCATAAGCGGGTTTCGGGTTTCCGGGCATAAGTGGAACAAGGGTTACCTAACCACACTTGAACCTTTCGGGAAAAAAACATAGTTGTCAGCACACATGTCTGCGAGAAGACTTACTGCGCCGCGTTCGCTTCTTGTAAAGAATTCTATAACCGCACTCTCGACATTGGATCACGTCTCCGGGCTTCAACGTGTTATCAGCACCGCATTCTGGCACGCATAAACACGACCGAATAACATAAGGAATGAGAAAACTAACTGTAGAACACTAAAGAAAAGACGTTTCCGAGGAGGAGAACGGCTTAAGAGCTAACTCGAGGAACCGAGGCCAGGGCGGAAAAGAAGGATCGTACCCCCGCACATGTAAGTTACTGGCTCCTGCGGCGGCATGTATCCCCCTACGTCCGCCATAGCGTTTACTGACCGTAAGAAAGAAAACTACGCGAAGGAAAATCTCCAAGCAAGCACTGAGCAGTTTCGAACGACTAACTGGTTTTAGAAAGCAAATTCGTGCCAAGTACTTTTGTTGGGGATGCAGGGGTTAGTGCGTTGCCCAGCATAAGGGTGTGGTGTCTCCTCAGGACATGTCGCAGAATCGCCTTTGGTGCGTCCCATCGCAATTTTTCGAAACTTCGGTGCTGGCGGAAGCGTGAGTCAACCTGCGCACGAGCTCGCACTGATGCACTCGTGATTGATGAGAACCACCCTTTGAACACGCCCCTCACAGTTTCCCTACAGGCTAGGAACAATCACTACTGTACTTAACACAATCATACATTCCAAATATGAAGTTACAGATAACAAGTGCCTCCTAGCTAGACTAGAAAGTAGGCCTACATAACATCCTCACACTTGCACAGCGAGCATAACGAATCACGCTGTGCAGAGGACAGCCCATGAGGAAACTAGACCTGGTGTGGAACAACCGTATCTACATGCATTGCACTCTAAGATTTTTTTCATGGCACCACCACCAGAACATCCATTCCTTCCAAGAAACACCTCATACTAACCCAAGAGCGACACCAGGAATTACATTCCTGCACACATCACCCAGGCATGTTGACTGCCTACCTTTGGCAAGTCACCTATGCTTTTTCCCCTGCTGCCCTCATCCCATCTCTGCTCATGCCACTTTCATGCCTCATCTTCCTGCGAAAATTCTCGAAGTCCTTCCATGGCACATTCTAAAAGCCTTAGCCATCCCTACTGCCTCTCCCACCTGGCTCCTTCATACCTCTCCCTCCTGCCTCTCCCTCCAGTATTCCTCTCCCTCACGCCCCACTCATCATCACGCATCTTCATTCTTCCACGCCCCTCGCCCTCGGAAGTAATCCCAAGGGCTCGACGGCACACGAGGCGTACTCGCAACCGACGAGGCCCCAGCAGCCCTAGGAGTACCACCCCCCATAGGGTGGGGAGCGGTGCCGGGCCGAGAATGGGCATGAGAGAGTGAGGCCGATCGGGGGATGGATGATGGCACGGAAGGGGGAGGGAGGCGCGGGGAGGCGTTGCGGGGAGTGTGCGAGGCAGCAGTTGGGGTGGAGGGGACGGAGGGGATGGAGGTGAGGGGGAGGAGGAAGTGGAAGGTGGGGTCGTCTTGGAGCTCGGGGGGAGGCTCTACCTCGTCCAGGTTTATCTCGGGTAGGCTGTGTACGATCTCGTCCGTTGTGAAGGGGATGCTGTGATGAGAAGGAGGGCAGGAGGGAAAGGGGAAAATGCAGAGAGAAACAAGGTCAAGAAGAGGAGGGAAAATACGAATATCACACAGACCCTTGCATGCTTGTGTATCACACAGACCCTTGCATGCTTGTGTATCACACAGACCCTTGCATGCTTGTGTATCACACAGACCCTTGCATGCTTGTGTATCACACAGACCCTTGCATGCTTGTGTATCACACAGACCCTTGCATGCTTGTGTATCACACAGACCCTTGCATGCTTGTGTATCACACAGACCCTTGCATGCTTGTGTATCACACAGACCCTTGCATGCTTGTGTATCACACAGACCCTTGCATGCTTGTGTATCACACAGACCCTTGCATGCTTGTGTATCACACAGACCCTTGCATGCTTGTGTATCACACAGACCCTTGCATGCTTGTGTATCACACAGACCCTTGCATGCTTGTGTATCACACAGACCCTTGCATGCTTGTGTATCACACAGACCCTTGCATGCTTGTGTATCACACAGACCCTTGCATGCTTGTGTATCACACAGACCCTTGCATGCTTGTGTATCACACAGACCCTTGCATGCTTGTGTATCATCCCATCATCAACCCCCTACTCACCAGTTCCTGCCCTTGTACTCACCCTTGGCCGTCCCTTAGCAGCATGGGGCTGTCATCCACCATCTCGCTCCACATCCGCTCTCCTGTGATGCTACAACCAAACATATCAACCTGTCCTGTCCCCACAACACTCACCCTTCGCCGTCCCTTAGCAGCATGGGGCTGTCGTCCACCATCTCGCTCCACATCCGCTCTCCTGCAATGCTACAACCAAACATATCAACATGTCCTGTCCCCACAACACTCACCCTTCACCGTCCCTTAGCAGCATGGGGCTGTCATCCACCATCTCGCTCCACATCCGCTCTCCTGTGATGCTACAACCAAACATATCAACCTGTCCTGTCCCCACAACACTCACCCTTCGCCGTCCCTTAGCAGCATGGGGCTGTCGTCCACCATCTCGCTCCACATCCGCTCTCCTGCAATGCTACAACCAAACATATCAACATGTCCTGTCCCCACAACACTCACCCTTCACCGTCCCTTAGCAGCATGGGGCTGTCATCCACCATCTCGCTCCACATCCGCTCTCCTGCGATGCTACAACCAAACATATCAACCTGTCCTGTCCCCACAACACTCACCCTTCACCGTCCCTTAGCAGCATGGGGCTGTCATCCACCATCTCGCTCCACATCTGCTCTCCTGTGATGCTACAACCAAACATATCAACCTGTCCTGTCCCCACAACACTCACCCTTCACCGTCCCTTAGCAGCATGGGGCTGTCATCCACCATCTCGCTCCACATCCGCTCTCCTGCGATGCTACAACCAAACATATCAACCTGTCCTGTCCCCACAACACTCACCCTTCACCGTCCCTTAGCAGCATGGGGCTGTCATCCACCATCTCGCTCCACATCCGCTCTCCTGTGATGCTACAACCAAACATATCAACCTGTCCTGTCCCCACAACACTCACCCTTCACCGTCCCTTAGCAGCATGGGGCTGTTGTCCACCATCTCGCTCCACATCCGCTCTCCTGCGATGCTACAACCAAACATATCAACCTGTCCTGTCCCCACAACACTCACCCTTCACCGTCCCTTAGCAGCATGGGGCTGTCATCCACCATCTCGCTCCACATCCGCTCTCCTGCGATGCTACAACCAAACATATCAACCTGTCCTGTCCCCACAACACTCACCCTTCACCGTCCCTTAGCAGCATGGGGCTGTCATCCACCATCTCGCTCCACATCCGCTCTCCTGCGATGCTACAACAAAACATATCAACATGTCCTGTCCCCACAACACTCACCCTTCACCGTCCCTTAGCAGCATGGGGCTGTCATCCACCATCTCGCTCCACATCTGCTCGATCACACTCGGGTCCACGCCCTTGGTGCCGTACTTGTCGTCCTCGTACCAAATGCACATGTGCACCAGCTGGTTCATGCTCAGATCGGGACACAGCATCCTTAACTCCTCAAGGCTTCTCCTCGGCTTGTGGTCCAGGGTCTGGTGGGTTAGGGGAGGGACAGCGGGAAGCAATTGAGTTGAGTTGAACGATCATCACTGGTCATTATTGTACCAGATGCACACGTGCACAGGCAGGCTCACACTCACCAGCACCTCTCCTCTCCATCGCCCGCCCTCACTTGCAGTGCCACCTGCCATACGCTAGTAATCTGATTCTTGAGTTGACCTGACAGTCACATGCCACTCGCCAAGAACAGAATCGTCTACTGCAGGTGCCTCAGTCCCTTCCTCAGGGGTTCTCTCCGTCGCCAGCACCTCCCTTAGTTGCACCTCCACATCGTGCACCCACTGCTGCTATGATCTGCTGCTGCGGTGTGATTTACCGGGCATGACATACCTTGTTTGCCACTCACCAGGAAGAGAATCGTCTGCTGTAGGTGCCGTAGCTCCTTCCTCAGGGGCGCTCTCTCCCCCCCCAGCACCTCCCTCAGCTGCACCTCCACGTCATGCACCCACTGCTCCAGACGGCTCAGCCCCTCCTCCATCATCTCGCCGTTGCTGTACGTGCACGGGCACCACTGCGCTCGCACCATCAGGCTGTTGGGAACGGGAGGAGGGCAGCAAATGGAACGAGTAAAAGAGCCAGCGAGTAGGCAACGTATCAAGTAACAAGCACCTTTCTTCCTCAGCTGCACCCACTGCTCCAGGCGGTTGACCCCCTCCTCCATCATCTCGCCGTTGCTGTACGTGCACGGACACCGCTGCGCGCGCACCATCAGGCTGCGAGGGTGAAAGGGGACAAGGGGAAAGGGAATCCCGCAGGTGTGAGAACCTTCCTCAGCTGCACCCCCTGCTCTGCTCCAGTCGGCGCAGCCCCTCCTCCATCCTCTCTCCGTTGCTGTACGTGCACGGACACCACTGCGCGCGCACCATCAGGCTGCGAGGGTTCAGAGTTTGGTTGGGGTTTGGGATGAGAGGGAGAGAAAGCTAAGACGAGTGTCCCACCGGCATCCATCACTGCTCCAGACAGCTTAGCCCCTCCTCCATCCTCTCCCCACTGCTGTACGTGCACAGGCACCATTGCGCGCGCACCATCAGGCTGCAATAGTTCAGAGTTTGGTTGGGATTTGGGATGAGAGGGGAAAAAGGCTAAGACGAGTGTCCCAGCGGCATCCATCGCTGGTCCAGACAGCTTAGCCCCTCCTCCATCCTCTCCCCACTGCTGTACGTGCACGGACACCACTGCGCGCGCACCTCAGGCTAATAGGAGGGAAGATGGGAGGGGGGTGGGGGTGGATGGGAAGAAGAGAGGAATAGAATGAGGCAACTCCCAGTTTCAAGCCCCTCCTCCATCAACTCGCTCACCCACTCACCCACCCATCCACCCACTCACCCACCCACCCACCCACTTACCCACCCACCCACCTGTTAAATATCTTCATGTTGACAAAGAACAGCAGCTGGCGAATCAGAGCGTCCAGCAGCGCTGCCGGCACGTGATTGGCCACAAGGTTCCCGATGATGTGGCGCAGAGTGATGACCACGTTGGTCCACGACGACATGATGTGTTTCCGCATCGCTGTCGCCGCGTTGCGCTGCGGCGCCCGCCCTCCCCGTCCCCTCCCCCTCGCCCCTGCCGGGGGGATGCCCGGCCCTCCGTTCTCCCCAGCTTCTGCTCCCTCGCCTGCTTCCACCTCTGCTCCTCGTGCCTGGGGTCGTCACGAAAGACAGGGGTTGGTTGCACAAGGAAAGGGAAGACCGTTGGGAGAGGGGAGAGAGGGGAGAGAGGGGAGAGAGAGTGATGACCACGTTGGTCCAGGACGACATGATGTGTTTCCGCATCGCTGTCGCTGCGTTGCGCTGCGGCGCCCGCCCCCCCTGCCCCCCCCGCCCCCGCCCCCGCCCCCGCCCCCTCGCCCCTGCTGGGGGGATGCTCAGACCTCCTCCCTCGTTTTCCCCAGCTTCTGCTCCCTCGCCTGCCTCCACCTCTGCTCCTCGTGCCTGGAGTCATCACGAGAGGCAGATAGGGTTTGCACAAGAGAAGGGCAGACAGTTGGGAGAAGCGAGAGAAATTTGAGAAAGGGGAGAGAGAGGAGGGAGATGAGGGAGTGAGAGAGTGTTGACCACGTTGGTCCAGGACAACATGATGTGATGCCCGCCCCTCCCCCTCCGTTTTCCCCAGCTTCTGCTCCCTCGCCTGCTTCCACCTATGCTCCTCGTGCCTGGGGTTGTGAGAGCGACAGAGATTGGTTGCACAAGGAAAGGGAAGACAGTTGGGAGAGGGGAGAGAAGGGGGAGAGAAGGGGGAGAGAAGGGGGAGAGAGTGTGATCCCCACGTTGATTGGTCCAGGATGACATGATGTGTTCCCGCATTGCTGTCCCTCCAACCCCCTCCCTCAACCCTCCGCTCCCTTTCTCTCCTGCTAGGTCTCCTCCCTCTCCTGCTTCTGTTTCTGGCCTCGGTGCCATGCCTGGGGGGAAGAGTGAGGAGAAGACAAGATGGGTTGCAACAGAGTGGCATGCAGTGGGGGATGGACAAAGGGGCGAGAGGGGAGAGATGGGAGACGAGAGAGAACGAAGAGAGGAGGGGTAAGAGAGGGGAGAGAGGGGTTAGAGCGTGACCAATATTCTTTTTTGAGAATTCTCAAAAAACAATATTCACTTGTAGAACCATCCCCCAACGCCCAAGGCCACTCTCCTCAACCTCCAAGATGACTCCCCACTGCCCAAGACCACCCCCCAAACCCCACGACCACTCCCCATCGCACCGCACCGCACCTGCGGGTTGAAGTGGACGGCGAGCTCCGTCTTGGCGCTGTCGCGGATGGTCACATACAGCCGCTCGATGCCGGTCGCCAGCTGCTGCTTGAACAGCATCAGATCCACCTGCTGCATCGTCGCGCTGGGTCGCGGCTGGAGTGGGTTAGAGGGGGGAAGGGATGTGAGGAACGAAAGGAAGGGAAGGAGGTTAGAGAGTGAGTGGGTCTCTTGTTGTTGCTTGAACAGCATCAGATCCACCTGCTGCATCGTCGCACTGGGTCGCGGCTGGAGTGGGGGTGGGAGTGATGGGAAGAAAGGTACGGATGGGAAAGAGGTTGAGAACGGTGTATACTCTTGTGGCTTTCACAAGATCACCTGCTGAGCTGGTGTGTTGAAACCCAACTTGGATGTGATAATGTAATAATGCGATAATGAGACAATATGATTATGTGACAATGTGATAATGTGATAATGTTGGAAGAGCTGTGCAGGGGAAGAAACTTTGAGACGTCTCAAAACAATAAGGGGTCGAGGCGGGGAGAGAATGAAAGAGCAATAACTGCATCACATTACAACCTCTTGCACCATAATCAGAACCTGACAGGACCACAAACTTACCCACAGCACCGCATGTCACCCCACAGCACTGCATTGCATCTCACCGGAGTGGGGGGGCGAGCGCCGAAGAAGCCAAACGTGGTGACACGCTCCAACTTGGGCTTCTCTGCCGGGGCCTTGTACACCACCTGGGAGGGGAGGGGGGGCGGGGGAGTTGGAAGGGTTTAGGGACAGGGGGAGCAGCTTGAGCTTCTCTGCTGGGGCCTTGTACACCACCTGGGAGGGGAGGGGGGGCGGGGGAGTTGGAAGGGTTTAGGGACAGGGGGAGCAGCTTGAGCTTCTCTGCTGGGGCCTTGTACACCACCTGGGAGGGGAGGGGGGGGCGGGGGAGTTGGAAGGGTTTAGGGACAGGGGGAGCAGCTTGAGCTTCTCTGCTGGGGCCTTGTACACCACCTGGGAGGGGAGGGGGGGGCGGGGGAGTTGGAAGGGTTTAGGGACAGGGGGAGCAGCTTGAGCTTCTCTGCTGGGGCCTTGTACACCACCTGGGAGAGGGGAAGAAGGGAAAGGGGGAAGGGAAGGGGGGGGGGACGGGGGGGGGTGGGGGCGGGAGGGGTTGGGTGGGAAGGGAGAGGGAGGGGAGGGGGAGGGAGGGGTTCAGCCAGCTGCAGGTTTCGGGTTTAGGGACAAGGGGAGAAGCTTGGGCTTCTCTGCTGGCGGCTTGTACGCCACCTGGGGAGGAGGGGAGGGGAGAGAGGGGGGAGAGGGTGGAGAGGGCGGAGGAGAACTGAAAAGGAGGGGATATTGAAAACGGAAGACGGAAATGGGGCAGCAATTTGTGGGGGGGAAATGAGGGTATGGAATCCTGCACAGGGGGGTTACATGGGAAAACGCCCTCACACACTACGTCATCTAATTTATACTCCACCCTGGCACCTACTACCTAACCTTCATGCCTAACCCTCCCCAGTTCCCGCCTGCACCAGATACAGCAGCACTGCGTGGTTGCTGCGCCAATAACTCAAGGTGCTCATGTCATTGGAGTGAAACACCATCATCCCAGATCCCACCACACCAGTACCTCCCCCGAACCCCCCGCCACCCCTAGCACCCACCTGCACGAGGTACAGCAGCACGACGTGGTTGCTGAGCCAGTAGCTGAGCGTGCTCATGTCATCAAGCGTGAGACCATCTGGAAGGTCTCGATGATTTGTCTTCCACACCTGCACCCACCTGCACTGCACCCACTCCCATCCCCTCCCACCCCAACACCCACCTCCAACCCCCGTAGCAGCACCCACCTGCACGAGGTACAGCAGCACAACGTGGTTGCTGAGCCAGTAGCTGAGTGTGCTCATGTCATCGGAGCGAGACACCATCTGGAAGGTCTCAATGATTCGGTCAAACGCGTTGGTCTTCTCGGCCTGGAACACTCGCCAGTGCAGCAGCGACCGGTACACCACACACGCTGCCACCGGCTGGCCTTGCGGACCGAAGGGGAAGCGGCTCACCGCAATCTCGTTCAGAAGCACCTCCTGATGAGGGGGGGTGTGGGAGGGTGGGGGACAAGAAGATGAAAAGGAAAGGCGAGAGAGAGGGGGGAACGAGTTGGTATTTTCTGCCAGGCCGCCACAGGTTGAGCCTATGAGGCGGAGATACAGAGTGGGTGGGAGGGAGTGCCACCTCGTTCACGCTTGATGCTAGACACAGGCCCACTCTGATTGGCGGCACAGAGTGGCGGCACAGAGTGGCGGGACAGGTCACTCTGAGATGCGAGAGGGCAGATGCAGGGATGGATGGCAGGAGGAGCGAAGAAGAGTGAGAGGGGAGAGAGATACAAAAGAAGGGGGAGGGATATGAAAGTGGAGGAAGAGAGACGAACAAGAAGGATAAGAATAGGAGAGGAGGGTGAGGACGAGGAGAAAAGTGCAGGGGAGGGGGTGGAAGATGAGGGAAAATATTAGGCGAAAGGAAAATATTAGGCGACAGGAAAATCTGCAGAGTGCGCTGCGTGAGAGCTCACCTGCTGCTTGTCGATGGGCATGGCCGGATTGGCATTGGCCATGCTGGCCTGGAAGGCAATCAGCCTCTGACTCAACGTGCGCACCTCGCGCGATCTCCTGCGGTGAAAAAAGAGAGTGGAGAGGATACGAGGGGGAGTAAGGAGGTGTGTGTTTGTGTGTGCGTGCGCATCAGGGAAGGAGTAAGGAAAACAGCGTGGTGAGCGGAAGCATTCAGGAGAGCACATGGATGTTTAAGGAACTTGCAGCTAGAAAATACACATCCAAAGACCCATTCTCACTCAACCACCCATTCTCACTCAACCAACCACCCTCACTCAACCAACCACCCTCACGCAAGAGGATGCACCCAACCTTTTGAAATTTCTCAAAAGGGATTTCCTCGTGCTAATGCCTCGTGTATCTCCACCTTCCCACTTTTGATCTACCCAACCACCACACCAGCACTCGACAACCAACCCATATACCCCACCCCACCGTCCCCAATCACCCTACCACCCGCCCGCACTCACCCGAGCAGCTTCTCCTGCAGCTCATGGCATCGTGCCAGGGCCTCCCGCATCTCCTCCTCCCGCGCTGCCACGTTCCTCTCCGCCTCTTCCGCCCTCGCCCTCTCCGCCCCCGCCAGTGCTGCCGCCACCTCTGCTTTGTGCACTGCCTCTTTGTACGCTGCCCGCAACCAGTTGTTCTCCTCCCGCATCTGATGAGGGAGGTGGGGAGCAGAGTAAAGGACACAGGGATGACATGGGCCCGCATGTGCCGCCAGTGCCGCCGCCACCTCTGCCTTGTGCACCGCCTCCTTGTATGCTGCCCGCAGCCAGTTGTTCTCCTCGCGCATCTGGTGTGGGGCAAGGGAGAGAGAGCGGACAAGAGTGAGGGATAGATTGCACCTCTTTACAATGTGAAACAGCTCTCATATGCGATTCCAAGGCACCCAAGAATCTCTGTCTTCTGTGCGATCTCACCTTCTCTGAAAGCTCACCTTCTGTGCAATCTCCACTTCGCGCTGCATGCTCGCAAGGATCTTATCAAAGTTGCTCGCCGAAAACGTCAAACTCTTCCCCCGCGGCGTCCCCGCCCCACTCCCCCCAGGAGTGGGCGGCGTCCCCATCCCCATCCCCACGCCTCCCCGCGGCGACGCCTCACTCGCCCCACTCCTAGCCGATCTCGACCCCACTCCACCCAGCTTCCTCCCACTCCACGACCCCTCCTCCCCTCGCCCCACCCGCGCTCCCCCTTCAAACTCCCGAGCAGGCGAGCCCCGGAACGAGCTGCTCCCATACCGCCCAAACTCCTTCCCTCCCGCTCCACCCCCTCCCGCGCCAGCCGACATTCTCCTGGGCCGTTCTGAACTAAGCGGACCCCTGTCGGCACTCAGCGGCCCTCGGTCCTGCTCGGCTGCTGCCCCACCCTCGTGGTCCAAGTCACCGTCCTCTGAGGGGACCTGCCAGTTGGATCCTGAAGAGGAGGCAGCACGGGGGCGCATGGGACGCCTGCTGCTGTCGCTGCCCGCGCCGCTGGGAGGCAGAGGGGCGCCCCCCCCTGGGCCTACACTTGCCGCTGCTCCCCCGGCTGCTGCTCCTGCTCCTGCTGCTGTCCCTGCTGCTGCTCCTGCAGTGGCAGCAGCAGCGGCGCCACTGGTGGTGGAACCAGCACCAACGTCTAGAGTGAGCCGATCGCGGATGGCACTAGCGCCGGCTGATAGCGGCGAAACAGGTCGCGGTTTCCCTCCCTTGTGCTCCTCACCTCCCGCTGCTGCTGCACCTTCCCCTTGCCCCTCACCCTTTCCTCCCTGCACCTGCTCCTGCCCCTTCTCCTGAGCCTGCTGCTGCTTCCTGTGACCTTGATCCTCCTGCTCCTCCTTCCCATCACTGTCGTTTCCTCTGTTGCCATCGCCGTCATTTCCTCTGTTCCCTGCCCTCTCTTCTGCCTCCACTAGATCCGCCTCGCTTTGTGCAGATCTTTCCAGAATTGGCGGCAAGAAATGGTTGGCAAGGGCCGTCCTGTCTGCGCCGCCCTCCACCCCCACCACAACACACTCCTTCTCCCTATCCCCCTCCATCGCCACCTCTTTCACCTCCTCCATTCCCTCGTCTCCCTCCTCTCCCTCTCCCTCGCCTTGCACAGGCCTTCTTGCATGGTCAGCACGAGGATCAATAGAAGCAGCACTGGCAGCAGCGGCACTGGCAGCAGCAGCAGCAGCAGCAGCAGCAGCAGCGGCGGCGGCAGCAGAAGGGGTTCTCCTGGGCGATACGGGAGGTCGTCGGGAGGAGGGAGAGGCAAGGGAACGGAGGGAGGAAGGAGACACGGGAATGCCTCCTGATGCCTCCACTCTCCCTCCGCACCGAGCACACAGCACAGGACCCGGGTGCATCACTGCAGCCTCTGCCACCCTTCCTGCCACCCCTGCCACTGCTGCTGCCACTGCTGCTGCTGCTGCTGCTGGAGCTGCTGCTGTTGACGCTGCAGCTGACACTGCTTCTTCTGCTGCTGCTGCAGCAGCAGCGGCTGCATCTCCTCCCGCCTCGTCTCTAGACCCTGCCGCAACCCCTGCTGCTTCAGTCGCTCCCACCGCCCCGTCAACAGCCGCCTCTGCTGCAGCTGCCGCATTTGCCAACATCCTAGCCTCATCCCTAGCAGCAGCACCATCACCAACGCCACCACCAACAGCAGCAGCAGCAGCAGCAGAAGCAGCAGTGGGCGTATGACTCAGCGCATCAGGCAACACAGAGAGCTCTTTCATCTTCACCAAGTGCTGCTGCTGCTCCTCCCGCTGCTCCTCCCGCTCCGCCACCATTTCCCTCACCTCCGCCTCTGCAGCCTCCGCCCTGGCCTGTTCCGCATCGAGCATCTCCTGCAGCCGGGCTATCTCCCTGCCTCGAGCTGCAATCTCCCTGCCCCGCCGCTCCACCTCCTCTCGTGCCTCCGCCAGCTGCCGTTCCAACGCCTGCCGCCCCTTCTCCGCCTTGTCCTGGGGTAGGGGAGTGGGGAGAGTGGGGGAATGGGTGACACGGAGGGAGTTAAGTGATATGGAGGGGCATGGGATCGCATTGGTATCAGACACCACCGTCAAACTCATCTGATCTGCTTCCAGCCCCCCCTCTCCACCCCTCTCCACCCCTCTCTCAGGCCGTGACTCGCCTCTCTAGACTCTTGCTTTGTGGCGTCCCAAAGCTCGTCTCTGCCTCTCTTGCTTCTGCAGCCGGTGTTCCAAAGCCTGCCGTCCTTCTAACAGATTGTTATCTATTGCCACCTTCTTCTTCCTGTAGGTCACTGCGCCACCCTCTATACTGTCACACTTCCCATACAGTCACACTCTGCCCTCCAACCAACTCCCCATACAGTCACACTCACCCGTTGCACCCGCTGCACCATCATGCGGATCGTATCCATCGCCACCTCAGTCTTCTTGCGTGGTGGGGCCCTAGCCTTATACAATCACAGTCCCCACTCCACGGCCCCCATCCCCCCGTACAGTCACACTCACCCGCTGCACGCGCAGCACCATCATGTGGATCGTATGCATCGCCACCTGTACCTTCTTGTCCATCAGTGTGCTAATCTCTTTACTATCACATGCCCCTATTAAACCCCCATACAGTCACACACACTCACCCGTTGCACCCGCAGCACCATCATGCGGATCGTATCCATCGCCACCTCCGTCTTGTACGTGGTGTGCTACCTTCTATACTGTCACACTTCCCATACAGTCACACTCACCCTCTGCACGCGCAGCACCATCATGCGGATCGTATCCATCGCCACCTCCGTCTTCTTGCGTGGCGGCGCCAGCTCAGCAATGCGAGTCGCCTCCTGTGATTGGTGGAATGGAAGGAAGGGGATGAAAGCAGAGGAGCAAGCAAGCGTAACCACAAGGTTGGGAGCTGCAAGGAAATAAATTTGGCAAAAACTGAAAGGAGAAGAGTCAGCATGGGTCAAGTCATTGCTACATATGATGTGGTCTGGAACGATGGTGGGGGGTCACAAGGGCTGACATTTGAGTCGACTCAAAAGTCAGCTCTGGAACGATGGTGGGAGGTGGGGTCACAAGGGCCCAACCAGGAGGGGAGGAGTTGGGGATGGATTAGTTGGGGAGTGTGGAAATTAGAGACGTCTTAAAAGAGGGGAGGAGTTTGGGATGGATGAGTGTGGATAGATCGGTTGGGGAGTGTGGATAGATCGGTTGGGGAGTGTGGAAATTAGAGAGATAGAGGACGAATGGGAAGACATTCGATAGGTGGGAGGGATACACTTCTGATCAATTAAAAAAGGATATCAAATTGACCAGGCACAGGCACGCACCAGCTTGAGGTTCTTATACCGCAGCCTGGCCAGCCGGGCAAAGAAGTACTGGCGCAGGGCCTTCCAGGGCTTGCGAGCTGCATAGCCCCGCCAGTGACACTGGGGAGAAAGGGAGGCGGGAAGAGGGGAGGGGGAGATGGGGAGAGGGGGAGGCCGGGGGAGAGGGAGAGGCCGGGGGAGAGGGGGAGGCCGGGGGAGAGGGGGAGGCCGGGGGAGAGGATGCAGATGGATAAAAAACATGGGAGGGCTTGCAAGGCGCGTAACTGCTCCAGTGGCTATGGAGAGAGGCGGGTAGAGGGGGGCAGAGCGGGAGTGGGAGAAGACTGGCGGGTAGGCTAGGAGGGGAGGTGTGGGGCAATGGCGAGGTGAGGTGGTGCGGATGAAAGGGAGCATGCATGGGGTCTATTTTTTAGGCGCCTCGAAAATAGGCGTGGGGCAATGGGGAGGTGAGGTGGTGTGGATGAAAGAGAGCATCATGCATGGGGCGGATGGGGTGCCCGTGGATGGGGTGCCCGTGGATGGGGTGCCCGTGGATGGGGTGCCCGTGGATGGGGTGCCCGTGGATGGGGTGCCCGTGGATGGGGTGCCCGTGGATGGGATGCCCGTGGATGGGGTGCCCGTGGATGGGGTGCCCGTGGATGGGGTGCCCGTGGATGGGATGCCCGTGGATGGGATGCCCGTGGATGTCGGGGGGTGAACATCAAACTGCCTTCCAGGGCTTGCGAGGAGAAGACAGGTGGGGGGGATGATCCTGTCCCCACAAAAAAACCACTGGCACACACCTGAATGTGGGTGGCAGCGAGATTATCCCGCATGTGCAGGTAGCGCGTGCGATAGAGGTGCATGCGGTACTTGGCTTGGATGGTGATTGCTGCCCGCCGCAGCACGAGGAAGCGCATGCGCTGCTGCCTGCCCCGCTCCATGCGCTGGATGCACGTTGCTGCCAGGCGCTGACGCAGGTGGTACACGAACTCCCGTGCCTTGAAGGCTGGAAGGGGGGGTGAAGGAAAGGAGGGGATAGGAGGGATGGTGTGAGGAAGCGCATGCACTGCTGCCGGCCCCGCTCCATGCGCTGGATGCACATTGCTGCCAGGCGCTGCCGCAGGTGGTACACGAACTCCCGTGCCTTGTAGGCTGGAGGGGAAGCGGGGGGGAAGGCAAAGAAGAGGTAGATGCCGAGGGGCAATGTGAAGTGAACAGACTGAGAGCGACAGTAGAGAGATGCAAACGCAACGCAGCGCTGGAGGCAGCTCACCGCGTCTTTTAAGGCGCCTCAAATCTAATCCCACTCACCGCGCCAGAGCTTCTGGATGCAGAGGGCAGCGCGGGCGCGGTGCAGGCGGAAGAGGAAGCGGCGCGTGGCACGCTGAATGCGGGCGGCAGCAGCGTTCATGATCTCCAGCCGGCACGTCTCCATTAGGGCCATCTGCCCCGCTCGTAGGAATATCTTTGACTTTCCGATCTGGGGGGGGGGAGAGGAGAGGGCGTAAAGAATGGATGGGGGGGACGGGAGGAGTGAATGCTATTTGCGTGGGTGTGTGCAGCTGCAGCAGCGTTCATGATCTCCAGTCGGCACGTCTCCATTAGGGCCATCTGCCCCGCTCGCAGGAATATCTTTGACTTTCCGATCTGTGGGAGGGGGAGAGGGTGCAGAGAATGGATTGGGGGGGATGCACGGGAGGAGTGAATGCCATTGCATGAGGGTGTGCAGCGTTCATGATCTCGAGACGGCACGTCTCCATCAGCACCATCTGGCGCGCTCGCAGAAATATTTTCGACTTGCCAATCTGGATGGGGATAGAGCAGGGAGTGGAGTGGAAATGCATGCACTGGCATGAGTGTGCGAAGCAGCAGCAGCAGCAGCTGGAGCGTTTGTGGACGCACGCACGTACGCACACACACACACACACACACACACACACACACACACACACACACACACACACACACACACACACACACACACACAAACAAACCAACCCACCCACATACACATCAGCATACACCTACCCCCTCGCTGACACGCACACACACATCCATCCACCCACCGACCCGCATACACTCACACAGGAACCGCATACACTCACACAGGAACCGCATACACTCACACAGGAACCGCATACACTCACACAGGAACCGCATACACTCACACAGGAACCGCATACACTCACACAGGAACCGCATACACTCACACAGGAACCGCATACACTCACACAGGAACCGCATACACTCACACAGGAACCGCATACACTCACACAGGAACCGCATACACTCACACAGGAACCGCATACACTCACACAGGAACCGCCACGAGCTCACCTGGTAATTCTCCAGCTTGGCATGGCGCAGAATGACCTCCACGTACTCAGGGTCCGACATTCTGCACGTAAGGCGGCACAGGGGGGCGAGAACGGGTTAGGATTGAGCCTTTGGATGGCAGCTCGAAGGTGAGCACCAGAACAGGCTCCAGCTTGGCATGGCGCAGAATAATTAATCTCCACCCGTACTCCAGTCAGACATTCTGTTGTGCATCCGCAGCAACACAGGGGGGTGAGAATGGGATGGGAGTGAGTGCATGGGAGTGAGTGCATGGGAGTGAGTGCATGGGAGTGAGTGCATGGGAGTGAGTGCATGGGAGTGAGTGCATGTGAGTGAGTGCATGGGAGTGAGTGCATGGGAGTGAGTGCATGGGAGTGAGTGCATGGGAGTGAGTGCATGGGAGTGAGTGCATGGGAGTGAGTGCATGGGAGTGAGTGCATGGGAGTGAGTGCATGGGAGTGAGTGCATGGGAGTGAGTGCATGTGAGTGAGTGCATGGGAGTGAGTGCATGGGAGTGAGTGCATGGGAGTGAGTGCATGGGAGTGAGTGCATGGGAGTGAGTGCATGGGAGTGAGTGCATGGGAGTGAGTGCATGGGAGTGAGTGCATGGGAGTGAGTGCATGGGAGTGAGTGCATGGGAGTGAGTGCATGTGAGTGAGTGCATGGGAGTGAGTGCATGGGAGTGAGTGCATGGGAGTGAGTGCATGGGAGTGAGTGCACGGGAGTGAGTGCATGGGAGTGAGTGCATGGGAGTGAGTGCATGTGAGTGAGTGCATGGGAGTGAGTGCATGGGAGTGAGTGCATGGGAGTGAGTGCATGGGAGTGAGTGCACGGGAGTGAGTGCATGGGAGTGAGTGCATGGGAGTGAGTGCATGGGAGTGAGTGCATGTGAGTGAGTGCATGGGAGTGAGTGCATGGGAGTGAGTGCACGGGAGTGAGTGCATGGCAGCACGCAGCGCAGGTGGGCATGCAGGAGGGTAACGGGCAGCGGAACGGGCTCCAGCTTGGCTGCCATGGCGCAGAATGACTTTTGAGTCGACTCAAAAGGCAACGGAACAGGCTCCAGCTTGGCTGCCACGCAGAATGACTTTTGAGTCGACTCAAAAGGCAACGGAACAAGCTCCAGCTTGGCTGGCATGGTATGAGCACACAGCAGCAGCACACGACGGCATGAGAATCAGGTCAGAACAAGAGAGAGTAGACTCCAGCGTGGCATGGTGCAGAATGGCTGTACACAGATTCCGACATTCTGAGGGTTGGGATGTGCGTGCAGTGCAGTGGGTGCAGGGGAGGGGGTTTGCATTGCAGGGATGGACAGTGCACGGAGGTCGTGTGAGAACAAGGGCACGACGGGGACTGAAAAGGTGAAAGTGAGTGAGGTGAGGGGGTCATGCAAGAGAGGGAAATCAAAATGAGTGAGGGGGCTCCAGAGAGGTGAGAGTCCAAAGTGAGTGAGGCAGCCTGAGTGAGAGAAAAGGGCCCAGACCAAAGTGAACGAGGGAGTGAGGGCGTCTTGAAAAGAGAAGAACACAGGGAGAGAAACGGAGAGGGAGAAAAAAAATGGGGGGAGAGGAGAGGACGAGGCCAGGTAGAATGGAACGGGAAGAAAGTGAAAACGAGGAGAGAAGGAGAGTTGACGGGTCGATGGAGTATGGGAGCAGGCACAGAGAATACGGGACTCACTCCTTGTCAAAGAGCGAGGGCACGAGCAGCGAGAATCTGTCGATGAAGTCGTCAAAGAGGCGGCGAGTGGGGTAGCCCGCCGAGCACATGCGAATGGCCTCCAACACTCCCTGCACGGCGCACCACACCGCACCACACCACACCACACCACACCGCAGCGCAGTGCACCATACCACACCAAAACACGCCGCATCACACCACACCACACCACGCGGTAATTGGGCATTGCTTTATGGGTGAGACTGGGAGGAGTTCTGTAGGCGCCTCAAACCACGGAAAAACATGAGCATGCCGTAAGAGGGGGCAGCCGCGCACATGCGCTTAGAGACCAGGATGGGGGACAGGCAGCAAGCATGTGATGCCAGCAAGCATGTGATGTCAGCAAGCATGTGATATGATGTCAGCAAGCATGTGATATGATGTCAGCAAGCATGTGATGTCAGCAAGCATGTGATGTCAGCAAGCATGCGATGTCAGCAAGCATGTGATGTCAGCAAGCACGTGACGTCAGCAAGCATGTGATGTCAGCAAGCATGTGATGTCAGCAAGCATGTGATGTCAGCAAGCATGTGATGTCAGCAAGTGTGTGATGTCAACAAGCGTGTGATGTCAGCAAGCGTGTGATGTCAGCAAGCATGTGACGTCAGCAAGCATGTGATGTCAGCAAGCATGTGATGTCAGCAAGCGTGTGATGTCAGCAAGCGTGTGATGTCAGCAAGCGTGTGATGTCAGCAAGCATGTGATGTCAGCAAGTGTGTGATGTTAGCAAGCATGTGATGTCAGCAAGCGTGTGATGTCAGCAAGCATGTGATGTCAGCAAGCGTGTGATGTCAGCAAGCATGTGATGTCAGCAAGCATGTGATGTCAGCAAGCGTGTGATGTCAGCAAGCATGTGATGTCAGCAAGCGTGTGATGTCAGCAAGCATGTGATGTCAGCAAGCGTGTGATGTCAGCAAGCGTGTGATGTCAGCAAGCATGTGATGTCAGCAAGCATGTGATTTCAGCAAGCATGTGACGTCAGCAAGCATGTGATGTCAGCAAGCATGTGATGTCAGCAAGCATGTGATGTCAGCAAGCATGTGATGTCAGCAAGCATGTAACGTCAGCAAGCATGTGACAAGCGGGGGGATGGGGAAGCATGTGTGTGATGTGATGCATCCATCCTGTACCACACCACTGCAGCTGCACACTGCGCCGCATGCCGCAGCACAGAGCACTTTGAAAGAAATCTATTTTATTCTACGTCTCGAAAAATCACTTTCTTCACGTGGCATGTGTGTGATGCAACAGCATGTTTTGACACGTCTCAAAACACTTCTGAACCACACCACTGCAGCTGCACACTGCACAGCATGCCGCAGCATAGAGCCCTTTCCCCTCACTCGTCCCCGTCCCTTTTCTCATCCCCTGATCGCACCACCACCACCATGAACTTCTCAATTAGCTCTCAACCCGACATCTCACTCCCGTCCACATTACCCACACACCTCCCATCCCCTCATCCCCCGCACTCACCCCCGATCGCAGCTGCTCCACCACCATGTCTTCTCAAACAGCCCAACCCGACCCTTGTCCCCCATCCTTCGCACTCCTTCTCACTCCTCCACCCCCATCCCCTCATCTCTCGCACTCACCCCCGATCGCAGCTGTCCACCACCATGTCTTCTCAAACAGCCCAACCCGACCCTTCCATCCTTCGCACTCCTTCTCACTCCTCCACCCCCATCCCCTCATCTCTCGCACTCACCCCCGATCGCAGCTGCTCCACCACCATGAACTTCTCAAGCAGCACTAGCCAACCCTTCTACCCCATACTTGCACTCCTTCTCAGTCCTTCCCCCCCATCCCCTCGTCTCTCGCACTCACCCCCGATTGCAGCTGCTCCACCACCATGCTCTTCTCAAACAGCCCAACCCGACCCTTGTCCCCCATCTTTTGAACTCCTTCTCACTCCTTCTCACTCCTCCCCCCTCATCCCTTACTCCCCCCGTCGCACTCACCCCCGATCGCAGCTGCTCCACCACCATGCTCTTCTCAAACAGTGCCGGCCGGCTCTTGGAGTTGGGCTTGATGCACCGGATGTAGTGCGGTTCTGTACGGTTTAGCGTGTCCATCAGCTGCGACAGTTGTAACTGCACAGTGACAAAACAAAGGATGTAAAACAGGGAGAATAAAACAAGCAAACAAGGCCCAGGAAGAAGAGGTATTTTTTCCTTGTCCTACGCCCTTTCGTGCAAGATCTTGCACTATCATCTTAATCATAGCACTATCATCTTAATCAATGGCCACATGTTGATTCTCGCCTTCAACAGTCACACATACCCTTAGTTCAGGGTTACAGGTTCAAGGTTTCTGGTTTGGGGTGCTGCATGCATCACTCACCTTGAACGATTTCCCCAACGACGCGAACTTGGTGGTGGCCTTGCCGCCCTTCCCTCCGCCCTCCTTCACCTCCTCTTGAGCCGCAGGGAACAGCGCGGCCACAAACGGGTCGGTGGACTTCTGCAGCAGCGCCTCGTGCTCTGATACCACGGCGTCAAGGTTCTTGCTGATGAACTCCATGGTGCTGTACTTAACTCGCCCCGCGTAGTGCTCCAGCGTGAAGTCAGTGACGGAGCCCTTGGACTTGGTGAATCGCTCGTGCTTCAAAAAGGTGTCGTACAGCGACATGGTGAATGATTCCGGTGTGGACTGGGCTAGCTTGCTGGGGGGGGGGGGGGGGGGGGGGGGGGGGGGAGCAGGGAGGGAGGAAGGGAGGGAGGGAGCAAGAGAGTAAAAGAGAGAGAGAGAGAGTGAGTTCCTCTGTGTGATGAACCCGTGGTGCTGTACTTGACCCGCCCCGCGTAGTGCTCCAGCGTGAAATCCGTGACAGAGCCCTTGGACTTGGTGAATCGCTCGTGCTTCAGAAAGGCATCGTAGAGAGACATGGTGAATGATTCCGGTGTGGACTGGGCTAGCTTGCTGGCAAAGGGGGGGCGGAAACAGGGGGGAGGGGAACGGTGGGGCAGGGAGTAGACATGAGCAAATGACAAAAACGAACGTGTTTGCCACGAACCTCAACGAACACCAAAGGTTGGCGAACCAAACCCGTTCAGTTTGCCACGAACCAATCTCCTGAAGTAGGTGTTCGCGTGTTCGTGGTCACTGGCGAACGCTTAAGGTTTGCCAAGAACCTCTTAGGTCGTATCCCTGGCTGGTGGCAAGAAGTTAGTGGCAAGAAGTTGGTTGCGCACGCGATTGATTAAAAAAACCGCTTGACCAATCGCATTGGCCGGTCGTCTGTTTTGGACCAATCGCGCGCGGAAACTTCTTGCCACCAGCCAGGGATACGACCTTAGACGTTTGAGGCAAACTTGAACCTGTTCGGGTTGGGTGCCATCCGACACCGCCGAAACGAGGGCGAAATGCTTTTTAACTCCCTAATGACTTAGAATAGGCACTATTTAAGGATAGTGTAGTGGCTGTTTGCCAAAATTGAACCGTATAACTAGAAAACGCTAGAAAAATGTTGACCAAAAAACGCATTATCTGAACCTTAATCACATCATTTCCTTAGTAACTAACCACCCTAGACCGAAATGCTCAAATTCATGTGTTTCCAGAGCGACTGTGTGTATGGAGGGAATAACAATGGTGGATCTGCTCATTTAAGCTCGATTTGAGCTCAAATGACGAGCGTGTTCACTACATACCCGTTCGCGGCAAACCTGTTTTAAGGGCGAACGCGTTTGCGTTCGCCCTATGTCCCACGAACGCGACGAACATCACGAACGTGTTTCTAACGAACTGGGGGCGTTCGTCACGAACGTTTTTGGGCAAAAAAAAAAAAAAAAACCCTTCAGTTCGTCACGAACGCGTTGGTGACGAACCGAACAGGGGCTCGCAATTTTGCTCAAGCCTAGCAGGGAGGAGGGGAGGGAGCAAGAGAATATGAAGAGAGGGGGGGTTCTTCTGTGTGGTGAATCGCTCGTGCTTCAAGAAGACGTCATAGAGAGGCATGGTGAAGGACTCTGGTGTGGACTGGGCTAGCTTGCTGTGGATGGTGAGCGGGAGAAGGGATGAGGAGAGAAAGAAGGAGTGTTTCAAGCACCGCACGAATCATGAAGCAGCATGGTGAAAGGGGCTCGCTCGATCGTGGACTGGGCGAGTTTGGTGGAGGAGAAGTGGGGTTCAAAGCGCGAGCCTGCGTGGGTGGAGTCACAACCAAGCTTGAGTTACTTTCTATTCAAAAACTCTCTAAAGTCCTCTATTTGGTGCATGACAGAGCTCTTGCACTTATTGAGAGCGTCGTGCGTGAGCACCGTTTTTAATGCAAGGCGCTTGAAAAAGGGGAGATGGTGATAGACTGGGGTGTAGAGAGACAGACACGATCAGGCCAGTAGAGCGAGGGAGAGGGAACGTACCAGGCCGAATCTAACAGTGTGAGGATGCCCTTATCCTGCAGCAAGAGCACGGAATAGCAGAGGACGCATGCGCAGATGGGACGTTAGGATGACAGGCAGGAACAATGATACATGTGCGTGTGGAGGAGGGATGTGTGTGTGGCAACCTTTGAAGTGCCTCAAAACCGATGCATATGCGTGCGTGCAGAGTGTACCATACCAGCAACAACGCTGTCTGAAACACGAGATGGTACAGTGCCAGTTCCACATGCAAATCGCAGATGAAACCAAGTCTAGCACTGATACAAAATATTCCAAAAAACAGCTCACTCGCCCCACCCATCAAGATCACCTCACCCCGTCAACGAGGTCTAACAAATCCTGGTTGTCGCGGAAGTTGATGTAGCTCCAGTCGACTTCCTCTAAGAGCTCACACTCGTACCCATCAACTCACGCCTCCCACTAGTTCACTCATCATCACCCCTCTCATCCCACCCAGAAGCTCACTCCCACCCATCAACTCACCCCTCCCACTAGTCCACTCATCATCACCCCTCTCATCCCACCCAGAAGCTCACTCCCACCCATCAACTCACCCCTTCAACGAGGTCTAGCACATCCTGGTTGTCTCTGAAGTTGATGTAACTCCAGTTGATCTCTTCCCGCTCGTACTCCTCCTGTTCCAGCTTCAACACGTGCTGGTGTGTTGGGATGGGGAATAATTATGAGCATATGGAGTGGATGAGTAGGGGGGAGAGGAGGGGTAGAGAGGAGAGGAGACGTCAAACCAGCTCCAACCAAAAAGAGGGGAGTAGTGGCTGAGACGGTGGCTGCTGGAACGGAACGACTGACGTGGTGAATGGGCATTGTTCCAAGCTGTTGGTGTACTGTGCAGGGATGGGGGCTTCTTGGAGCTTCATGCATTACCTGGTTGAAGTGTTGTTGGAGCTTCATGCATTACCTGGTTGAAGTGTTGTTGGAGCTTCATGCATTACCTGGTTGAAGTGTTGTTGGAGCTTCATGCATTACCTGGTTGAAGTGTTGTTGGAGCTTCATGCATTACCTGGTTGAAGTGTTGTTGGAGCTTCATGCATTACCTGGTTGAAGTGTTGTTGGAGCTTCATGCATTACCTGGTTGAAGTGTTGTTGGAGCTTCATGCATTACCTGGTTGAAGTGTTGTTGGAGCTTCATGCATTACCTGGTTGAAGTGTTGTTGGAGCTTCATGCATTACCTGGTTGAAGTGTTGTTGGAGCTTCATGCATTACCTGGTTGAAGTGTTGTTGGAGCTTCTCATTGGCCAGATTGATGCAAAACTGCTCAAAGCTGGTGCGGGGCAGAGGGGTGGGGGAAGGGGAAGGGGGGGAGGAGAGGGGGAGCGGAGCGGGGGAGTCAGCAGGGGGATATACAAGGTGAATACAAGCTGTGGATCTACGTTGACTGAAGTTGTAGTCCAGTCAGTGCGAGCTCAGATCACCATTTACCATTATACCACGCACCTGACATATGAGGCGCCTCAGAATTTAAATACGCACCTGTTGAGCTTGAAGTGCTCGAAGCCGTAGATATCGAGCACGCCAATGAGGGTTTTTGAGAGGTCTAGAAAACCAGCACACAACCGCACACAACCGCACCTGTTGAGCTTGAAGTGCTCGAAGCCGTAGATATCGAGCACGCCAATGAGGGTTTTTGAGAGGTCTAGAAAACCAGCACACAACCGCACACAACCGCACCTGTTGAGCTTGAAGTGCTCGAAGCCGTAGATATCGAGCACGCCAATGAGGGTTTTTGAGAGGTCTAGAAAACCAGCACACAACCGCACACAACCGCACCTGTTGAGCTTGAAGTGCTCGAAGCCGTAGATATCGAGCACGCCAATGAGGGTTTTTGAGAGGTCTAGAAAACCAGCACACAACCGCACACAACCGCACCTGTTGAGCTTGAAGTGCTCGAAGCCGTAGATATCGAGCACACCAATGAGGGTTTTTGAGAGGTCTAGAAAACCAGCACACAACTGCACACAACCGCACCTGTTGAGCTTGAAGTGCTCGAAGCCGTAGATATCGAGCACGCCAATGAGCGCCATGGAATTAGCGTCTTGCCCAATGGACCGATTCACCTTCTCCACTATCCTGTGTTTAAGAGGGCGGGTGTGTGGAGGGCGGGTGTGTGGAAGGAAAAAGAGAGGTGTCAGTGATCCTGAGAAAGAGAGGGAGAGGGAGCATTGGCGTCTGCCCAATGGACTGATTCACCTTCTCCACGATCCTGACCTGAGTTTGGGTGGGTGCGTGGGTGGGATGGGATGGGGTGAGAGCGTGCACAAACATCCAACGATTTGTTGACAGAGGATTCGACGAGTCATGCACGACAGACAGACAGCCTGGAGGCGGATGGGGGTGCCCACCAGTCAAAGAGCTTGGAGTAGAGTGTCTTGGCGAGCGTGTCTCTGCGCACCACAGCCCCCTTCTCGTCCAGATAGCTCTTGATCACCTCGCCTCCCACCTTGCGCTTCAATGTGCATAGTGACTCCTGTAGCTTCTTCTTGTCGCACCTGAGGGGGAGTTGGGACAGGGATGTGAAGTGGGGGAAAAGAGGCGTTGTGTTGCATGCGAAACAGCACGGTGTAATCAAAGCATCATCTCGCCTCCCACCTTGCGCTTCAATGTGCATAGTGACTCCTGTAGCTTCTTCTTGTCGCACCTGCGGGGGAGCGGGGGGGGACAGAGAAGAGAGGAGGAAAGGGGTGGTACATCAGAACACGCATGGTCTAATCAAAGCATTTAGTTTGCCTCCCACCTTTCGCTTAACCGCGCACAGTGACTCCTGAAATTTCTTTTGTCGCACCTGCTCGGAGCAAGAAAAAGGGGGTGGGGGGGGAGGGGGGAGGCGGGGGGAGGGAGGGGGGTTGACAAGGAGAAGCTCCATGAGCAGTAGCAACAGTTAGCGGCGGCGGCGGCAGCGGCAGCACCAGCAGTTAGCAACAGCGGAGGTGACGGCAGTAGCAGTAAGCAGAGAGCAGGGATGCGCTGATGTCTCAAAATGAAGGGCGCATCAACAGACACGGCGAGGTTTACGATGCCTTTCGAAAGAAATCCCAGCATCAAGCAACTTTTCAAACACAAAAGCAGGTGAGCTGGCATCAGCAGACAGTGTGCTTACGAGAGCAGGTGAGCGACGTTCTCAAGATTCTCCTCCGAGCTCTTGGCGATGCGCATCTTGTCGCCCTTCTCCTTGAACTCCACGTTGCCCAGATGCAGAATGGCCGCCACGATGCCGAATATCGATGCCTGCATGGGGGGGTGGGTGGGGGGTTGAGGTGGCCGGGTTGTGGCATGTCTGGAAAGGAGGAATCCTTGGCAGCTCGCATCTTGTCGCCCTTCTCCTTGAACTCCACGTTGCCCAGATGCAGAATGGCCGCCACGATGCCGAATATCGATGCCTGCATGGGGGGGTGGGTGGGGGGTTGAGGTGGCCGGGTTGTAGCATGTCTGGAAAGGAGGAATCCTTGGCAGCTCTCATCTTGTCGCCCTTCTCCTTGAACTCCACGTTGCCCAGATGCAGAATGGCCGCCACTATGCCGAATATCGACGCCTGCATGCATGCATGCACGCACAACACACGAGGGGATGGGTGGCGAGTGGTTGAGGATGCACGGTATGACCAGAAAAAGAAAACTCGATTTCCATTCCATGCAACCAACCCCCCATGTGCATGCATGTTCCTTTCGTCTGAAGGACCAGCAGAAAGACACTTGCATTCCGCCAACAAACGTATGTTCGCCCTCTCTCCCCGTCACCCCACCTCCTACCCCTCTGTCACCTCCAATATCTTGCCCTCACCTGTTCATCCTGTGAGATCCCAATAACGTCCATGGCATTGCGAGTGATCACATACTCCTCTGTGTTGCCAATCAGATCAGAGAAATCTCGTGCCCTACACACACCCCAGCCCTGCACACTTATTCCACCTCCCACCCTCACCTGCTCGTCCTGTGAGATCCCAATAACGTCCATGGCATTGCGAGTGATCACATACTCACTCCTCTCCATCCAAGCTCTACCCATCCCTCACCTGTTCGCCCTGCGAATCCCCATCCCTCACCTGTTCGCCCTGCGAATCCCCATCCCTCACCTGTTCGCCCTGCGAATCCCCATCCCTCACCTGTTCGCCCTGCGAATCCCCATCCCTCACCTGTTCGCCCTGCGAATCCCCATCCCTCACCTGTTCGCCCTGCGAATCCCCATCCCTCACCTGTTCGCCTGCGAATCCCCATCCCTCACCTGTTCGCCCTGCGAATCCCAATCCCTCACCTGTTCGCCCTGCGAATCCCCGTCCCTCACCTGTTCGCCCTGCGAATCCCCATCCCTCACCTGTTCGCCCTGCGAATCCCCATCCCTCACCTGTTCGCCCTGCGAATCCCCATCCCTCACCTGTTCGCCCTGCGAGTCCCCATCCCTCACCTGTTCGCCCTGCGAATCCCCATCCCTCACCTGTTCGCCCTGCGAATCCCCATCCCTCACCTGTTCGCCCAGCGAATCCCCATCCCTCACCTGTTCGCCCTGCGAATCCCCATCCCTCACCTGTTCGCCCTGCGAATCCCCATCCCTCACCTGTTCGCCCTGCGAACCCCCATCCCTCACCTGTTCGTCCTGGGAGATGCCAATAACGTCCATGGCGTTGCGAGTGATCACATACTCCTCCGCGTTGCTCCGCTTCCCCTCCAGCTCAATGCACTTGCTCTGCTTCAGGTAATGAAACTTCTCCGCCCTGTTCGGCCCTGGAGGAAGCCGGTACTTCTCTGCCTCCTGGAAAGGCGAGGGGGAGGGAGTGGGGGGAAGAGAGGGAGGGGGGGTGAAGATTTGAAGAGATGTCAGCAGGACTAGACTCGCGCCCCTTGCTCTGCTTCAGGTAGCGAAACTTCTCTGCCCTGTTCGGCCCTGCAGGCAGCCGGTACTTCTCTGCCTCCTGCGTGGATGGGAAGTCAAAGAGGCATCACAAGGCATGACAAATGAGTGCTCAACTCAAATCACACCACCACACTCCTCACTCTGCCTCAGGTAGTGAAATCTCTTTGCCCTGTTTGGGGCTGGAGGCAGCCGGTACTTCTCTGCCTCCTGCGTGGATGGGAAGTCAAAGAGGCATCACAAGGCATAATAAATGAGTGCTCAACTCAAATCACACCACCACACTCCTCACTCTGCCTCAGGTAGTGAAATTTCTTTGCCCTGTTTGGGGCTGGAGGCAGCCGGTACTTCTCTGCCTCCTGGAAAGGCAGGGGGGCGGGGGGGAAGGGGGGGGGGGGGGGGGGGGGGGGGGGGGGGGGGGGGGGGAAGAGAGAGTGAAGGAGAGGTGAACAAGGCATGGAAATCGCGTTGCTTCATCCACACGACACCACTTGCTGCGCTTCCCCTCCAGCTCGATGCACTTGCTCTGCATCAGGTAGTGAAACTTTTCTACTCTGTTTGGCCCTGGTGGAAGCTGGTAAATCTCTGCCTCCTGGAAAGGAAAGGGAGAGAGTGGGGGGAAGAGAGAGTGCAAGAGACTCTGTTTGGCCCTGGTGGAAGCTGGTAAATCTCTGCCTCCTGGAAAGAAAAGGGAGAAAGTGGGGGGAAGAGAGAGTGATAGAGACTCTGTTTGGCCCTGGTGGAAGCTGGTAAATCTCTGCCTCCTGGGAAGGAAAGGGAGAGAGTGGGGGCAAGAAAGAGTGAAAGAGACTCTGTTTGGCCCTGGTGGAAGCTGGTAAATCTCTGCCTCCTGGAAAGGAAAGGGAGAGAGTGGGGGGAAGAGAGAGTGAAAGAGACTCTGTTTGGCCCTGGTGGAAGCTGGTAAATCTCTGCCTCCTGGTACAACAGAAGGTGGAGAGTCAAACAATCGACTCAAAAACCCCAGCCAGCGAGGGTCTGAAGTCAATTTGCAATATTCACACCCACCCACCCACACACCCACACACACACACACACACTCACTCACACTCACACACACACACACACGCACACACACACACACACACACATGCACGTACCTCAGGGGATGCACCGGCGCAGAGCTGGTAGAAGCAGTGGTAGTTGCGCTCGGGGTCTGCTATCTGCACCACTCTGGACCGCTCTAACAGGTACGAGCGGATGGCGGCGCCGGACACGCGGCCGCGTTGGTCGAACTGGATCTCGATGAACTTGCCAAAGCGACTCGAGTTGTCGTTTCGCACCGTCTTGGCGTTGCCAAAGGCTTCCAGCAATGGGTTTGACTGGTGGGAGAGAAGGGAGGGAGGGGGGTCAGATGGGAAGGTGGAGGAGCGAGCGGACGGAGGAGGGTAGTGTGTGAGATGGAGAGAAGAGGAGGGAGGGGTGGGGGGGAGAGGACGGTCGGCAAGAGAAGGGGGAAGGACGGGAGGGTAGGCCCGCGCTGGTCGAATTGGATCTCGATGAACTTGCCAAAGCGACTCGAGCTGTCTTTTCGCGCCGTCTTGGCGTTTCCAAAGGCCTCCAGGAGAGGATTCGACTGGTGGGTTGGTTGGGGAGGAGGGGAATGGGAGCGTAAGGGACGGGTTAGGAGGGGAGGGGAGAGGAGTGTGTGGGAGAAGGGGAAGGGGGATGGGGTTTTGGCTTGCCGAAGGCCTTTAGTAGTGGGTTCGACTGGTGGGCTGGTAGGTACTAGGTAGGCAAGGGAGGGCGGAGAAAAGTGGGACGAAAAGCGGCTGCGCATTCCCATCCATTCACCTCGATCTTTCCCTCGCACTTCCCTCACCCCCCTCCCTTCTCCCCTCCCCCCTCCTCACCTCCAGCACTTGGCGTTCAATGCTGCGCCCCTCGGTGTCCTCAGACCGCCCCCCCACGGAAGCCAGATACTCCATCACCAGCTCCGTTGTCTCCGTCTTGCCTCTGCCCCTTGCATACCGTCTTGCAGATTATCACCCCCTTCTCACCCTGAAACCCCATTCCACAGCTCTTGTCCCTTCAATCTCCCCTCTCCCCCTCTCAACTTTCCCCTCCCCCCTCTCACCTCCAGCACTTGGCTTTCAATGCTGCGCCCCTCAGTGGCCTCAGACCGCCCCCCCACAGAAGCCAGATACTCCATCACCAGCTTCGTTGTCTCCGTCTTGCCCGCCCCGCTCTCCCCGCTGATCAGAATCGACTGGCTGCGCTTATCGTCCACCATCGCCCTGCAGGGGTGGGTATTGATGGATCGATGCAACACAATTGAGTTATTTACAAGGTTACTCACGAGGCCAGCATCTCAGAATCCACTGGCTGCGCTTATCGTCCACTATCGCCCTGTAGGGGTGTCCAAATGGGTATCGATGGATGGATGAGACACGATACTATTTCCTCACTTAACTCACCTAAACACCGCCCTATCCCTCTCCCTCGCTGCTCACCTGTACACCCTATCCCGTCCCCACTCGCTGCTCACCTGTACGCGTTATCAGCAATTGCGAACACATGCGGGCTGAGGTCACCGATCTGTGCCCCTCTGTACGCCTCCCTCATCTCCCGGTCGTAGATGCCTGGTATGCGCATGAAGGGGTTCGCTGCTATCAGGATGCTGCCCGTGTACGTCTGGTAGGAAGGCAAGGAGAAATGGAAAGTGGGAGGGAAGGGCGAGGGCGAGGAGGGAGAAGGGGGGGCGGGTTCGAAGCCTTGTGGTTAGCGTTTACATCTCTGGGTAGTACATGCCTGGGATGCAGATGAAGGGGTTTGCTGCATGCCATTGTAACGAGGTGACTTTTGAGTCGACTCAAAAATCACCTCGTTGCCTGGGATGCGGATGAAGGGGTTTGCGGCGATTGATTATGCTGCCTGTGTACCTCTGGTAGGAGGGCAGGGAAGAAGAGGGCGGGGGAGAAGAGGATACTGCGTTTCATGTTTTGGGATTCAGGGTTTCAGGTTCTATATCTCGGTTCATGTTCAGGGTTTTAGACTCAGGGTTTCGGGTTCTGGGTTTGCCGGGTTTGAAGACTGGTTCACCAAGGGGTTTGCGCGAAAGAATCATGACAATTGAACTCCAACTAATGTGCCAGCTTGTGCTGACTCACTTTACCCAGTGTTCCTGCTGGTTTACCTTCTGTTTACATTTCATACGCACCACCAGCGCTTACATGAATAAGTTTGCGCTGGTAACGAGGCATGAGGTTGGGGAGCAACCCCCCCATCCCACACCCCCCGCCTTCCTCTCTGCAAGGTGGCTTAAGAGTCGACTCAAAAGTGCCAGCACTTACATAAATAAGGTTGCGCTGGTAGCGCAGCATGAGGTTGGAGAGCACCCCCGGCTCGTGCAGGTAGGCCATCTTGACCATGTCGTCCATGATGCCGCCATCCTCCTCGCGTGCATAGCACGCACCCGCTGCTACCGTCACCTGAGCATGAGAGGGAAGAGAGTGGGGCGGGGGGAACGGCAACGAGAGAAGGAGCACCAGTGGGCGCTTGAGGCCATCTTGACCCTGTCCTGTCGTTCCGAGGTGACTCAAAAGGCGCTTGAGGCCATCTTGACCCTGTCCTGTCGTTCCGAGGTGACTCAAAAGGCGCTTGAGGCCATCTTGACCCTGTCCTGTCGTTCCGAGGTGACTCAAAAGGCGCTTGAGGCCATCTTGACCCTGTCCTGTCGTTCCGAGGTGACTCAGTGGGCGCTTGAGGCCATCTTGACTTGACCCTGTCCTGTCGTTCCACAATGCCACCATCCTATCCTCCTCCCTCTCGTAGGACGCGCTTGCTGCCTTTTTTCTTTATTTATTTCTGAAAGCTCTATTGAACTCACTGGCTTGTTTTTTCAGGCTGAACATTCGGTATCCAGAAAAACCACCCTGCCAGCACCACCACCACCCATCACCACCAGTCTCACCTCGCGTTTCCTCTTCCCTGCAGTGTGCTCCACCACCTGCCCGCCTGCAATTCAACAGCGGGCTCAGAATCGTCTCAATTCTTCTCACGTACCAGCACCACACACACACCCATATCATATCTCATCTCGTGCTCATTCTTCCCTGTGGTCACTCCGCACCACCACCTGCCTGCCCACACTCCCCGCGCCATCCTTGGCGCCTACCAGCTCGCCCTCTGCCCATGCGTCCATGTCGAAATCACTTTCGAGAATTCTCAAGAGTGATTTTAACTTGACCCTCGCCCGTGCATCCTCCTCGTCTGGCTCGCATTGAACATGCTCTTAAGGCACCTCAAAAGTGGGTCCAGACCCACCTCGCACTTCTTCTTCTTCTCACATAACCAGCGGCTCCACACACCCACCCGTCACCAGCACCACCCGTCTCTCTCTCTCTCTCACCTCGCGCTTCTTCTTCCCTGTGGTGCGCACCACCACCTGCCCGCCTGCACCCCCCCCAGTCAGCACCAACCCTTAGCACCACTTCCTACCCATCACCACACACACTCACAGATCCCCACACCCGCACCACACTCACCTCGCGCTTCTTCTTCCCTGTGGTGCGCACCACCACCTGCCCGCCTGCACCCGCGGCGCCATCCTTGACGCCCACCACCTCGCCCTCCGCCCATGCGTCCTCCTCGTCCGGCACCCAAACAGTGCTGCCCACCGTGAACACACTGCGCTGCTCCGAGCCCTGGTGGGGTGGTGCGGTGTGGGGTGGGGTGGGGTGGGGTAGGGTTCAGGTTCAGGTTCAGAGGAAGAGGGGGGGAGGGGGGGAGTGCACGGCACGTCTGTTGGTACCCCCATGCATCCTCCTCGTCCGGCACCCACCGTGAACACACTGCGCTGCTCCGAGCCCTGCACATGGGGTGGGGTGGGGTGGGGTGGGCTGGAGTGGGGTGGAGAGGGGTTGCCACCCTGCCAGCATGCCCCACTCATCCGGCACCCACACGCTGCTGCCCACCGTGAACACACTGCGCTGCTCCGAGCCCTGCACATGGGGTGGGGTGGGGTGGGTGGAGGTGGGATGGGGTGGAATGGGTGCCCCTATGCCAGCATGCTCGCACGTTCAGCACCTACTCGTTCCCCCCCCCCCCCCCCTGTGAACGTGCTGTGCTGCTTCGAGCCATTTGGGTGGGGAGGAAGGGGGAAGGGGGTGGGATGGGTGGGAGTTGTGGATATGGGGGGTGGTAGGAGGTTTTCAGGTTCTAAGAAAGGGGGGATGTTTATGGCATGTGTTGGTATGTCCACGCATCATCCTCATCCGTCATCCACACGCTGCTGCTCGTTATGACTGGATTTCGGTACTCCGAGCCTGGTGGAATTAGGTCAACGGGTGGTGGCGAGGGCGGGCGGGGGGGGTTGGGGGAGAGGGGTGGCGCGGGGGAGGTGGGCGAGAGGGAGGAGGGAAGAGCGAAGGGGGAAGAGAGAGGGGGGAATGTGAGTGGGGCAGGCGAGGGGGGAAGAGTTAAGGGGGATGTACAAGGGGTAGAAATCAAGGGGGGAAAGGGGAGTGTGAGGGGGGGGGAATGTGGGAAAGGGGGGGAAGAGAGGGGGAGAGGCGGGGGCAGGGGACGGCAATATATGTACATGTCAGGGCAAACAGGCTCCACTCATTCGCCTCTCAAACCCTGCCGCAGGACACAAAGCACAGGCTAGGGGAGGGCTGCGGTGGCGAGGGGTGTGTGAAAGGGAGCTTTCGCGAGAATGGGTAACTGCTGAAAAAGGAGTGTCGCGGGAGCGGGTAACTGCGAGACACGAGGAGTCCGCAACATGTGGCTTTTGTGGTGTTTGGGGACGTGACAAAGGATTGTGCAAAGTTCGCATTTTTTTTAGAGGGGTCTGAGAAGTACGCTTAATTTTGTCTTAAATTTCTCAGAAGTAAGGTACATAGAGGAATATTAAATGAAAGTAGCATGCGACGCTACGCGATGGTGTGCGACGTTGCGCGAGAGGAGACAAGGTGCAATATAGGATCGCAAACGACCCACGGTGGCGAAGGATTCGCAGAGCTTGGGCGTGCGACAGAGCCATGCGAAGTCTAAGCACGGCGGCCATGGTTTGGCGACTACGTGTTCATTTTCATACTCTCTTTTGCACCGAAACAGCATATTCGTTCTTTCAAGCACGATAACAGGTTAACCTGACATCGCAAGAACTTAGCACAAATAACTTGGCAACGCAACCTTGACGGCAAACCTTGACGACACAAAAACGTGGAATAAAATAGGACACACAGCTGCTTACCATGGTTAACGGGCTCGAGCGGCAGCTGTTCGAAATCAAAACTCAAGGACAATAGCGACGAGACTTGGAGGTTGATGCCATGGACAAACCGCTGCCGGGGAGATGAAGTGAGGGTTTCAGGCCGGCAACGCACTGAAGGACGATCTGAGCGGAGGAAGTGCGGAGGAATTGCGGGACTAACCTATACCAAACCAATCCGATCCTAATCACGACGGTGATGCAGGGTCAAGCGCAGAGGTTTAGGAGCTTCGAGAGTCAACCTATCCGGCAAGAAGCTGGCAAAACACCGATGCTACTTAGCATCGAATGCCAGGAAGCTACGATGCTGACGACACGGAACGGACAACGAGGAGTGGGTAGGTGGCCGAAAGTCTCTGTTCGTGGACGAATGTTGAACGAGCAGGTCAAACTTACGGAATTACTCACAAGAGCACCCGAAACTTGAACGACTAACAACGGAAACTAACGCGGCACGGCTAGTTCGCGTCTCCTACTCTAATTCCTCGGTCCTGGATACACCGTCATCTGCAAAATAACATCAGCAGCAGTTGCAATGCAATGGAAGCATATGTGTGATCACCTCCAACGGGAATCCCGAGGTCGGTTGTGTGCGGTATATCACGGTGTCAGTACTCCCACACGAAATACGAACAGTTTCGTGGCACAGCACACACACAACTGCAGCAAGTAAACAGCCCAACCTCCCCCCATCAATCACATCCCACAAATGTCGCTCTTTTCCCTAACCTAACCCGCTCGTTTGTGCAGACCGGGCCTTTTTCCCCCGAAATCCCGAGCCTGACACACACTTTTGTGCGTTGCCATTGGCTTTGCCACAGTCACATTGCTGCCCATGAACACTCACCTCACAAGCCACAACGAAAACTGATGACCGACACTTTGACGGGCAGCGGATACGACGAAAGAGCAAAGTACACACCTGCCCCAGCTTGAAACTGAGAAATTGTTGGTGGGCTGCCCACACCGCAGCGCGATTTACCGAACCAGGCCGAAACGAAGCGAGGGCCGCAGAGACCTAAGGACGCGGCACCTGTTTTCATTTAGGCAGGATCGATCGTTAGAGGGAACGATGTGCCGCTTATACAGTGTATTTGCGACATCGCTAAAGCTTGGTATCCGTTTTTCGCGGGAGCTCGCAAATGTACAGTAAATGGGTACCCAAACTAGTGGCACCTGCAGCTCGCACGATCGATGTGCCATGTTGCACACATCGATAGTGCGTTTTGGTTGGTGTGAGAGCACATCGCGCCACAGGTGACAGTCGCGATCGATCGACGTCGCCCACGGTCGCAGGCCAATTTTTTCAAGTCGCTGCGAATGAAATTCCTGGGCGACCAACCAAGATTTTCCCTGATTGGCTGCGCAAATATTCCGACGTGGATCCAACCTTCCCGACCCTGCAATTTCGACCCTGGCACCTATAGCTCGATGTGTCTACCTCATAGCAAATTTGCAGTGTGGGCACATCGGTGTGCCGATCGATCTGCCAGGCTCGATGTGAGGCCACGATCCTTCCTCGATCCTTGAAAAATGCAAACAGGTGCCGCGTCCTAACAAAACAAGGACGCTCCGAGCTTGCTCATTGGCTACTGAAATCGGGCTGACTCAGCCCGTGAGGATTTGCGATTGGTGGATTTGTTAGAACTAATAAAAGTGGGTGGTACAGCGCGCCATTTTTAATGACTGGTTAACATGGCTCATCATATATGAAAGCACTAATATAAAACCTACAGAGAAATTGGCACAGAATCAGTACCTCAGGTAAACATCTCATTCATTGCACTGCATTTCATCAGTGTAGATAAGGCAGACATTTGGAGCACTTCCTTACGATGAGGTAGTGGGCAGCTTGAAGTCCCTCAAGGCCGACACATTTACACGCACAGACGGGCCCATTGTTGCGCAGATGTAAGCAGTCTTCCAGTACACTCCCTTGGCGCCTGGTGGGCGATTCGCATCCACAGAGTTCTGGCACAACAAGAAAACGTAGCATAAACACGCAAACAAAACCTTGAATTGTGACACCAACAGACAACCATTGCCACACACCATACATCACAATATTTTAAATGTACTACACGATATTTTATGCATATACATACAGCGACGGCAACGAGGTTGGTGAGGAGGTCTTCGTTGGAGAAGGAGGCCTTGCCAAAGAGCACGTGCACGATGCCCGTCTTGTCCGCCCGGTACTCCACCTTGCCCGCCTTGAAGTCCACCACAGCCTGTCATGGGGGGGAGAGGGGCGGGAGGAGGGGGAGGGAGAGGGGGGTTTGGGAGGCCGGGGGGCATTGCAGGTGGGATAAAGGTGCTAAACATGGGTGCCTTGCCAAAGAGCACGTGCACGATGCCAGTCTTGTCCGCCCGGTACTCCACCTGCCCGCCTTGAAGTCCACCACCGCCTGCAGGGGGGAGGGGTGGGTGTGGGGGGGGGGGGGAGGAGAGAGGGAAAGGAGAGGGGAGGGGGCATTGTTGGTGGAATAAGGGTGCTAAACATGGGGGCCTTGCCGAAGAGCAAGTGCACGATGCCAGTCTTGTCCGCCCGGTACTCCACCTTGAAGTCCACCACCGCCTGTCATGGGGGAGGGATGGGATGGGAGGTGGGAAAAATGGAGGAAATGGGTGTAGTGCATGACACATTTGTGAGTTAAATAAATGCAGCGCGGTACACTAATTCGTGTGCGATACTCCACCATATCAACCACTGCATCAAAGCTTGGAGGGAGGGAAAGGAAGAGATGATGAGAGGAAAGAGGTGGAGCAGAAGAGCGAGAAGAAGGGCCTGGGAAGTGTGAGGAAGTGGCTTCACAAATGGACAAGAAAACCAAAGTCAAAGGACAGCCAATGGGGAAAGGGATGGAGGAGTGACTGGCTTGAGCAGTATGTACGCAAAACTTGTACGCGCTGCAGCATCAGTAGCGGCGGCGGCGGCGGCGGCGGCAGCAGCAGCAGCAGCAGGAGCAGTAAATTTGAAGAGACCAAGGTGAAACCAAGTACAAAACAAGTCAGACACCGAAGAGAGAATCAGCACGTACCGAAGCAGGGTCGGTGGCGACGGTGCCAGCCTTGGGGTTGGGCATGAGGTGACTTTTGAGTCGACTCAAAAATCACCTCGAGAATCGGCACGTACCGAAGCAAGGTCGGTGGTGACGGTGCCGGCCTTGGGGTTGGGCATGAGGCCACGTGGACCCAGCAGACGACCCAGACGCGCCACCTGAGGAGTAGATAGACCAGAGACCACAGGCGACGGGCGCAGGGGAGAGGGAATGGGTCAATGCAAGTTGGGAAGGGCGAGTGCGAGGAGTGGGAGTGGGGGAGGGTGACTGGGGGAGCGGGAATAAGTGTGTGAGACAAGTTCTAAGCATGTCTAGGGCTTGGGCCTGGGTTGGGCAAGACACCTCGGGGGCCCAGCAGACCAGCCAGACGAGATGGTAGGGTGCGAGGAGAGGGGTGCAGGAGAGAGAGTGGTGCGGGGGAGGGGCGAGGGTTACAGGGGAGAGGGGAGGGGAGGGGTTGACATGGAAGAGTTGGGAGGAATGAAAGGGGTGTGTGTGGGGGGGGGGGGGGGGGGGGGGGGGGATGGGGGGAGAGAGTGCGCCGGAAGGGGAAATAGAATGGTAGGGGTGAAGCAAAGATAATGACAGGGGAGATGGAGGGGTCTATGGTCTAAAACGGACCAAGCAGCAAGCAACGCAACGCACCTTGGGCATCATGTCAGGCGTGGCGACGAGCTTGTCAAAATCCAACATGCTACTGCGTGGGATCCAAGCTTGCCCCACCCCAGCTACAACCCGGCAGCAGCTAGGAGCAGGCAAGCAACGCAACGCACCTTGGGCATCATGTCAGGCGTGGCGACGAGCTTGTCGAACTCGAGGAAGCCGCCCGCAATGCGCTCGATCAGATCCTCCGCGCCCACCACGTCAGCGCCCGCGTCCGTCGCCTCCCTCTGCTTCTCTCCTGCGCGCATAAGGGGACAGAGACCGGGGGTATAACGGGGAACGAATGGGGGGCCATGGGAGGACAAAGGCAGGATGGGATGATAGGAGGTGAGAGTAAGAAATCCAGCAGCTTGGATCACATTGTTACAAGGAGTAAAACTGGTCATCGTGGCAACAAATGGAGCGGGAGAGAATAATCGAGATTTCTCAGAATGCACAGTGCAAATGGCACGACGAAAAATAAGCGGAGATGTATCACCAAGGGAACGGAGGCGTACCTTGAGTGAGGACAGCAACGCGAACCACCTGGCCGGTTCCCTTGGGCAAAGAAACCTGCGTGAAGGAACAAGAGGAAAGGCAAGAGAGAAGGGGAGGAATGGAGCGGGGAGTAATGGAGAAGAGAGGGCAAAGCAACACGAACCACCTGACCGGTTCCCATGGACAGAAACACCTGGCGAGGGTCGGAGGGTGGGAGGGATGCGGGGGGATGGAATTGGGGGAAGCGAGGGGAGGCGGGGAGAAGGGCGGAGAGGGGAGAGAAAGGGGTGGTTAAGGGATGAGGGAAAGGGAGGAGGTGGGGGGGGGAAGAAGGGGGGTAAGGGAGGGAGGAGCATCCCCGCTGACAGCACCGTTTTTGTTGAGCTAAACAGCATTGTTATTTGCATTCAATGGCGCGCAGGGGTCGATGTTGAGTTGAAAGGGCTCTCACATATTCATGGATCTTTTGCATCCCCGATACAATATCCTCGGATAAACTATCCCCGCTAATAGCATCCTCTCGTTAGTAACCGCAGCGAGAAGCTGCTGATCGGCGTGAATCCAATTGATTTTTAGCCTACAGCGTGTGTCAACGTCCAGTAAGTCTATTCCTTCGATTAATACATCCCGCTAACAACATACCTCCTAAAAGCATCCTCGTTACGCACCATAGCGCGCAGCTGCTGGTCGGCGTACTTCGGGTCGATGTTGAGCCTACAGTGCGCCTCGACGCTCAACCAAACTCATCATTCGACAGATTCATCCCCGCTAAAAGCATCCCCGCTACGATCCTCACCGTGGCGCGCAGCTGCTGGTCGGCGTACTTCGGGTCGATGTTGAGGCGGAAGTGCGCCTCGACGGACTCGTCAAACTTGACGGAAGCCGTCGCCTTGACGATCTCAAGCGCCTCCACCGGCTCGTACTCGCTGTTGCGGTCGCGCAGCTTCTGGATCTCCAAAAACCGCTTCGACCGGGTCTGCGGTCGGGAGGGGATGGTGCGTGAGGCAGAGAGAGGAGGGTGCGATGGTTATCAGGCGTGAGGCACTGAAACTTTTACCATCTAGCCGCACGGTGGGATCAGGCCTCGTACTCTCTGTTGCGGTCGCGCAGCCTCTGAATCTCCAAGAACCGCTTCAATCGGGTCTGGGAGGTTGGCATGGATGTGAGACCGGAGAGAGAAAACGAGAGTCTGAAAATATATAACGTGCTCCTGAAACCAAAACCAGGCGTTCCACCCCATTACCCTGATATGGGAAACTGAAGTGCCCCGACCAGTAATATTTCACGATTGAAAAATATAACGTATTAACGTTCCCGTAAGCTTCTTAGGTTCCAGCTCCCAGACCAGACCAAGACGACCCGCTATCCGCTCAAAACGAGCCTTCGAGTGGCTGGAGACGTACTCGAGGCGCTATATTGGGGATGAATCTAGAAACTCGGGAAAGTCAGCTGAAAATGCCTACATTTGTATCCAACGGCTGGAGACGAGGCGCTACATTGGGACAGAAACAAGAGACTCGGGGAAGGTTTGGCTGCGAAAGCCTACATATGTTTCGAAAAAACCCTTGTTCTTGATCGTGAAGTGTGGCAATCTATGCGGCGCCGACAGAATAATGTCATGCTAAACCTGAACGTTCTGGATAGATAAGGAAGCCCTAGTATGTTCCGCCGCGCACCTCTGCGCATGCGCAGCGCAATGCAGTATACCCCGACTACCACTTCACACTCAGTTTAGTACCCTGACCAGCATCATTGATAAGCCGCGAGAAACCTGAAGAGTGAATATGTTCCGACTTGCACCTGATCCTTCTCGAGCCCTGTGCCGCTTAAGGACACGAACGTCCTCTGAAAACCGAACCGTTCTCTTCCCCGTCCTGATCCTAGCAAAAGGAGCATCGCATTGTGGTTAACCCTAGATTTTATCGGACAGTTACACGAAACCCTAATCGCTGAATCTGTTCCGCCTCGCACCTGGTCCCTCTTGAACACGAGAGCCTTCTTCCCCGTCTTCGCCTTCACTGCGGGCGCTTCAACCTCTTCCGCTTCCCCCGCGTCCTCCGCGCCCTCCACGGACGGGAACAGCTCCGCCACCGCCTGGACGCGCGCAGCTACCGCGGACCGCTCCGCCGCCGCCACTCGCCGTCCGCTAAGGACGCGGGTCGACCGGAGGCTAATCTGCGGGCGGACGAAGGAGGAGGCGGGGACGGTCGTGCGCGACGCCGCCGCGAGCGCGGCGTCGAGGCGGAGAGACTGGAGCATCGGGGTGGCTTCGATGGCAGCCATGGTTTCAGGCGGGAAAAAATCCGAGCTGCGGTTCGCTCTCTCTCTATCTCTCAATCGCTGGTCTGAACGACCGCTACTGCCTCGTTTCCAAGGACAGTAATTACCACCAACTTGAAAGATATCTGAGAATGAGCAGAGAAACACCCTGGAGGAGGTGGAGGGAGAGGGAGAGAGTGAAAGAAAGTGTGATAGAAATGGCGGAAGGAGAAGGGGCGGATGAATCGAGTCGAGGAGTGGCGGTGGGAGGGTGAGGGGGAGCAACGGGGGAAGCGAGGGGAGCGGAGGGAACAGGTATTCCGGGGGAGCAGGGGGTGCAGTTGGAAGAGTGCTGGAGTAGCGAATAGGGAGAATGGGTACGCGGGGACTGAAAAGCTTTTGGCCTGGAATGGGGGAGTAGGGGAAGCGGAGAGTCGGGGAACGCGCAGTGCAGGGGGACGGAGATTGAGTTGGATTGGAGAGGATCGAAGGGTTTTCAGCTTAGCGGGGACAGGTATCTGGACCCTTTTGCTTTCAGGGCATAGACAGCGCGAACAAAGCGCACAGTTTCCGCAAAAGTCTGGGCTAGGGGGGGAGGGTTATTGTTTAGGTTAGGGAATCGAGCTCTCAATGAGCCACGTGGTTAGTCCTAGACAGCTCTCTCACTGTACATCTACAATCTCAGATTCTGCACTGCGCTTGTTTGTCTTTTCTACCGAATCCAGGCTAGCTCGTCAGCTCACTGTTCCCAAAGCTGTGTGGCCGTTGTCGTTTTTTTTTCTCGTCCAAATTACATTGCACCCGAAATCCTGAGAATATGTGCACCCTTCCTGACCGAAACAAAATATACCCAATCGGGAAGGGGTGCGACTCGGGAGGCATCAACCCTAAAAAGAAAGAGGGGTCCCGTGTTTAGGGTTGATTCCTCCCTAAAATGCGTCCGAGGGAGGCATCAACCCCAAACACCATGCCACAAGGTGTTTAGGGTTGATGCCTCCCTGACCGGATGCCTTCCCGACTGGGGTTTATTTTTTTGCTCGCGTGTCCGTTTGGGTATTTCGAGTGTAATATATTGAGTAGAAACGACAAACCAGAGCAGTGGAGAATCTGTGATTGAACACCTACAGTGAGCTCTCTGTGAGAACTGGGAAACGTGGCTCATTGAGAGCTTGAGTCCCTAATCTGAACAATAGCTCTCCCCCCCTAGCCCAGACTTTAGTGGAAACTGTGCGCAGAAAGCGCTACCCCCAACCTGAAAGCGGAGGGGTCGGGATACCCCTCCCTGCTAAGCTGAAAACCCAGGATCGAAGGCTGGTTGGAGCAGGTTGGTTTGCTGACGTGGCAGGGTGACGAAGTGCTGTTGCAACCTGGATTGGACGTGGCAGGAACCCCAAGCCGTGGGACGTGGCCCTCTTGACTCAAGAATGCTTCTCTCGGGAAATGCAAGGTTAACAAGCGTTATCTAATAACATGTAACCAATCTTGATGTTGGTTGATGACTTCACCATCTTAGTAAATAATTCTCATGCAAAATTACCAAATGCCTTCAGAAATCTAGCATCAACCAACTTCTTCATTCGATTACATATACCCTAGGGAGTGTCAGAGACAGTGGCTCAAGCTTATTGATTTAACAAAGAAACAATCAACATTCATACTCAATCATTACCTATCTGTGTAACATCAGGTGTTCTAGTGACCTGATAAGAGATGCTTGAGCCGCCCTGATGCACTATGCCTCCCAAGCAAACTCCTGGTATCTCTTGCAGCCCCCGCGAGATGCGAATCTGCAAGTGCCTCTGGTTTGCCACTAGATGTAGCTACACCAGTGGCCTCTCTAACTGCTTGTGGTGCTTCTGCTGATAGTGCAGCAGCAGCGCCTTGTGTAGAGTTAGTCCTGAGAATTGAGAAGGCGGTCACAACATCCGACATGCCTCCTTCACATGTCCCTCCATCAACTTCCATCCCTCCTCTCTCCATCCCACCCTCTGCTCTCACATTCTCCCTTGCTTGACCAGTAGCCAATGCTGCGCTGACAGCTGGCAGCACGTTTCCAGTGCTCGAATACACCGCCACAGGCTCGGGAGCGGCTGTTCGGTCAAGAGTGACGGCCGGGGACAGCCGGGCCCGGAACTCAGCAATGGTGCCAACGCTGCTTGCAGCTCCAGTGCTGCCGAGGCTGCCGATCATCCCATTCTTCTGCCAAGGCTGGTGAGGGTGCAATTGGTGATTTCCCTGCTGCTGCTTTTCATCATGGCCGTTCAAGTGGGTCTGCAGCACAGCAGCAGCTGCTGCACTCAGCACGGCGCTGTTGTACCCAGCCAAACCTGCTCTGCCTCCCACCTCACCCTCCTGCTCCTCCTGCTCTCCCTCACCCTCTCCCTCCTCCACCTCCTCCTCTTCCTCCTCGTCTTCGTCGTCGTCCTCCTCCTCCCCATGCCCACCGGTCCCATCCACAATCATATCTGTTCCCCCATTAGCGCCACCTGCCACTGCTGTCCCTGGAGCCGCAGCACTGTTCACAACCACTTGCGACTTTCGGATCTTCCTCTTGGGAGAGAAGAACGTGAACGGGCTGCTCAGGCCTGACGGCCTGGCTCGGAACAACGCAGACGTCCCCGAACCTGGCGCTCCTGAACCTGAAACGCCAGCTCCGGCAGCGTTCTTCCGAGCCTTGGCTGCCGGGGCAGCACCCAAGGAGAAGAGAGAGGCGAGCTTGCTGGTAGCACTGGCCATGGCTCCACTGGCAGAACCAAAGGACCCACCACCACCACCAGAAGGACCACCACCAGTAGCACCAGCAGCAACACCAGCCGCAGCACCAGCGGCTGCAGAAGCGGCGGCGGCACTAGGAACAGAAGCAGAGGGGGGCGGAGCGGCTGTTGCATGAGCGTCTCTCCTCCTACCGGATGACACTCGGAACACCCCCGTGCGGCCCTTGTGTGCTCTAGGGGCACGCCTCAGAGGCTCAATAGCAGGTTCAGGTAAGGCAGCAGAATTGGTGGAAATGGGATCATGTGGGGTAGCCGCATGTGGGGTATGCTCATGTGGAGTAGGAGCAGATGGGGCGGGCGTATGTGACGTCGGTGCAGCTGCTGGCAAGGAGACAGAAAACGGATGATCAACAGACATGGGAGCGATGGGCTGAAGCGGCACTAAGGATTCTGTTGTTGTTGCTGCAACTGCAGCTGCTGATGGTGCTCCTGCTGCTGGCACAGCTGCTGCTTCTGCAGCAGATAGCTCTGCACGCACAGATGCAACAGTATCTGTAACTCCCCCACTCGCACCGCCCACCACAGGCGCGGAAGCTACTGGCACCGATGCACCTGTCAGAGCTGGTTCCGAACCAGTCGCCGAAGCTGTTGCCGAAGCAGATGCGTGGGCTGCGGCCGAAGCGAGCTGCGAAGGAGGAGGCATGGGCTTGGCAAATGAAGGGCGGACGGTGATGGCTGCTGGGAGGGAATCAGCAGTGAAAGCTGTGACTGGTGGGTGAGGCATAGCAATGAATGCTGCTGGGATGGCAACATTACTAACACCCTCTGGGTGAGGCACAGCAGCCATGGGTGATGGAAGCGAGACAGCACTCATAGAAACACCAGCAGCCGTGGCAGGCAGAGGAGTGGCGGTATGAGGGGGATGGGGAGTGGGAAGGGCGGCGGAGTGTGGGAGAGTGAAGGGCGTGGGGCAGGAGGCAGCGGAGGAAGCGGAGGAGATGGTGGGAGAATGTGCGGGGGAGGACTTTGATTCATGATTCCGCCTCTGCTGCTGCTGCTGCTGCTGCTGTTGTTGCTGTTGCTTGTGTGCATTCGTGCCAGCATGCATATAAGTATCCTCGACATTGGAACGTTTTCCAAAGGAGCCGACAGCAGCCCTGTTATTGGTAGCCGGTACGTTTGCCCGCGTGCGGCTGGGCAGCAGCGGTGTGGTGGGCGCAGCAGGCGCTTTCATTGGACGCACAGCAGCAGCAGCATCCGCAGCGGCGGCGGGTGCTGGAACAGCAGCAGCAGCAGCAGTGGCAGCAAACACACCAGAAGCAGAAGCAGAGGCACCCCTAGCAGCAGCAGCAGCAGCGCGGGCAGCAGCAGCAGCTGAAGCTCTGGCAGCGGCCACCTGGGTGGTTGCAGGGCGTGTCTTGGAGGGGTAGCGCGGTGAGACTGCAGATGCGTTCACAGAAGCAGCTCTGGCACCAGCAGCACCGGTGGCGGCAGCGGCAGAAGCAGGTGCAGCAGTAGCGGTACCACGCCTGGCTGGGGAGGCTGGTCGCTTGGCAGGTGAAGGCGGTCGGCGGATGGGCGAGGGCTGGCGGCGAATGGGGGAGGGTGCTCTGCGAGAGGTAGGAGCGGCTGCTGCAGAAACACCAGCAGCAGCAGCAGCAGCTTCGGCAGCACCAGCAGGAGCAGCAGTTGGAGCGTTGGCAGCAGTAGGTGCAGCAGCCGCTGGCACGGCAATACCAGCAGCAGCTGAATGAGCAGGAGACGGAGCAGCAGAGAAAGTTGAATCCCCAGAAGATGGGGCATTTATGGAAGTCGAGTGAACCCCAGTAGTAAGAGACGTGTGAGCAGGTGCCTTGGGATTGACGCCAGCAGGCTCGCCCAGAGATGCTGGAATCGACGGTGCAGATGCGCAGCAATGCTTCAAGATCCACGGATGCTGCAGCGCCACGTCAGCAGTGATCCGGCGTGGCGGATCAATGGTGAGCAACCGATGGACCAGATCCTTCGCCTCCGAGCTGATCGTCGGCCACGGATCGCTGGAATAATCCGGGCGGCCGCGCAGGATGCGGACAAAAAGCTCTTCATCCGTGTTGCCCCAGAACGGCATGTAACCGGAGAGCGCTGTAAAGAGGATAACTCCGAGACCCCACAGATCAATCGCCAAACCGTACGGTTTCCTGCACACCACCTCTGGCGCCATATACACGTTGCTTCCATGCATACCCACTGCAAGCTGCCCCGATTTAAGCACAACAGACAACCCGAAATCCGCAAGCTTAACATGCAGGGCTTTCCCCGCGCATTTCGCCCTCTCCCCGTCCTCTTCCCCGTCCCTCTCCCCTGCTCCGCGCCCCCCTTCCGACAGCATCCCCCCCCTCGCCCCAAAGCTGCTGCTGGCGGTGCTGGCACTACCAGACGACATTAACATGCTACTGGGTGTACTGCTGATAACACTTGTACTGAAAGTGCTTGTAGAGGGGCTGGGCGAGTCACCGAACCCGCCACCTGCACACGCTACAGTGCTGCTGACGGGCCCGTCGTTTACAGTCACATCTTGCATAATTTCATCTTCCGCGTAAGAATCAGAAGCTGGTACTGTAGAAACCGTTTCGCCGCCTTCCATTTTCGCTGTCGCTCCCGTAGCGGGTACAGCTGCGTCAATGATTGCGACCTCTCCATCTTGTACGGTTACCGGGTTCGCTAATAAGATGTTTTCCGGCTTGATATCGCGATGCAGGATGCCGTTTCGATGGCAGTGACTCAGCGCCTTCAAGATTTGACTGCAGGGAAAGGAGATCCAAACGGACGAACAACGAGGAGTTGGAAACTAAATCGATTTCGGGCCGGAAGAGCAGCAAAACTTGCGACGAGCCAACAGCATGGCAAAGACCGCGTTATTATCACATCACGGGGCGCACGTGCACCGCTACATCGGTACGGCACGTGCGGATGGGCTCCGACGGACTGGACGTATGGAGGATGGTTACCTCGTTAGCTGCGCGGCGATCGGCTCGGGCAGAGTAGTAGCAGCGGTGAGCAGGTCGTACAAGTCCCCGCCCGTGCAGAGCTCCATGACCACGTGCACCGCGTGGTCGTCCTCGTACACGGCGAGAAGGCGCACCACGTGCGCGTGCCCCGCCAGCCGCCGCATCGCCGCCACCTCCGCGCGCAGCTCCTCCACCAGGTCCGGTCGCTGCGGGGAAGCGGAGGAATCGGGAGACGTCGGAAGATATTGGGGGAGTTGGGGGAAAGAATTGGGGGAATTGAGGAAAGGCGGAGGAATTGGGGGGACCGGGAGAGGTTAGGAACGGGGAAAGGAACTGGGGGGGAGGGGATGAGGGGGAACGCGGGTGGGATGAGCAGCTGAGGGTGATTGGCGTGTCGGATGACGGGTGGGTGAGACGGTCTACGGATTGCGGTGACAGGTCAGAACGAGGGACGGCGGGGAAATACACCTTTCGATCGCACATCACTGCTGCAAAATATATAAAAGGTACAGTAGCGGAGTTAAGAAGTTATTTTGTCTGAAAGAAAAAAAAAAAAAAAATCGGTACCTGGAGCTTTGACTTGGGAATCGTTTTGCAGGCCGCCACGGGCTCGCCCGTCAATGGGTCCAGACATTCGCGCACCACTCCGCCTCCGCCTTTCCCCAGCTCCCGCCCGAGCGTGTACGCGCGCCGGATGTCCCCGCGGCCCATGCGCGGAAACACGTGCGGAGCGCCGATCTGCCGCGCGGGTTCCGCCTGGCTGCTGGCGAGGTTCCCCCGGGCGGTTCCCGAAACCGGGCCTCCTCGGCCGACCGTTTTGGCGTCGCCTCGTCCGATACCCGCGCTGCCTCGACCCCGTCCGGCGAGCATATCCGCCGCTGCAGTTCCTCTCCCGACACCCCGTCCGGCTCCGCGCCCTGCCGGAACACCAGCGGGTGTTCCCGCGGGTACACCTGCTGATGCCTTCGCGGGTTCACCCGCTGCAGTTTTCGACGGTTCAGCCATGCTTGATCCGCGAGTGGCGTTTCCTCCTCGGGTGCTCGTCGATTGTCCGCCTCCGCATGTTGCGGTTTTGGACGCGGCTCTGTCGTTTCGCGAGTGTGCCGGCATCCATCGCGTGGCCATAGATTACGGGTTGATGAACGGAACGAACTACGGAATACAGTTTGGTCTATGGGTGATTTCTGTGTTAGAAGGCTGTGGTTGAGAGATTATTAAATGGTTGCATGGTCGAGATATCACCTACGGAGGAAAACGCTTACCGAAGCCATTATCATCTCTGGCCTGCGAATCACGCAGAAAACAATTTACAAGCAGCTATAAGTTAGTTGCTTCCGATCCAAACCACGACCAGGATGCTCGCCTCTTAGGCACTGACGGACAGTTTGCTACCTGTCCTGAAGACTGGACTGAGGAATTGTAGGATGATTATATGGGAAATGCTGTTCGTGATTCAGCCAAACAAAGACGAAAGGTGGAAAAGAGGTGTTGGGAGAGTTTTCTAGGTTTGACAGGCGGTGGGGATGGGGAAGGATGAAACATTTGTGGAGGGCAGGAAGTTGGGCGGGAATGGGAGGATATGGCATGGATGTGAAGTGAAGCGCCAGATCCCTAGAGTTTGACGGTGGAGCGCCTCTCGTTTACATCTGGAGATGGTTTGGTCCCTTCATTCGCTGCCGATTGGCTGCGAGGACTTGCACCTTCCTTTATGCGACGATGCCCTTCTGTGCGACAATCTCGCTTCCAACATTATCTCGGTGTCCTCCGTCGATGTCTGGCACGCATCTGAAGGTGACGGTTGATTCGTTCCACTGGAGGGTCAGTTGTCGCATGGACTGTCCATCTTTCATCGCATGCGGCTAGAAATTGTTCATCAGTTCTCGAGCCGCCGCCGCCGTGCCACCCATCAGCAAAAACCCTTCGCACATTGGTCCATGCGACTGCTCCAGCCACTGATTGACCCGCGAACAGAGGGGTTCGAATTTGAAACTGCTTCCCCCCATTCCTGCTTTTCAAACCTCGCCGCGCAATTACAGGAGGTTCTCGAATCTGGTCTGGATGTGCCATCGCATGCCATGCCACCAGCCCATCCCATGCCATCCTACGCCAAGCCTTTCTGTACCAGCTTGTTTCGGCTCCTGCCCTCCCCCTCGCTTCCAAGCTCCATGGAGCCATCATCCCTAGACTTGCGCTGTAACGCCAGTTGCTGTTCCTTCAGCCTCTCGAGGAGACTGGCACATAGAGGATGACTGAAAACGCCAGCTGGAGAATGCTGTGTGTCAGCAAACTCCTGACAATCACTTCCGGCATGTGTATGAGTATGACCTAGGTTTCGTGCACTTGCACAAGCTGTTTCAACATCTACAGTCTACTCGTTTCTAGCATTGCTCTATTGATGAAAGATTTGGCAAAGTTTGGAAGCTGGTTTGAAAATAAAACCCACTTTGTCAGTGTTCTTCATGCATTCATAAAAGATACCATAACTTCTTGGATTCAACTAGATAGTGAATGCTGTGCAATCCAACTCATAAGCCTCGCACATTTGCCATGCAATAGCTTTATACCCAACAGCTCATGCATGACCACCTAGTTTGCAAGGAGCTAAAAGCGGCCCACCTTGTCTTGTTTAGGGCTCCATTCTTATGCTTCCTTGGTTTGAAGTAGGATTTTGTACACTACTTGGATAAGAATAAGGATCATGTTACGATGTGAAGTTTTATGAGAAGGCATTCCTGTATGCTGCAGGAGCCGACTCTACCGAGTACGAAGTTGAGGAGTCAGAAAGAGCCGAAGCGACACAGCAACTGTCAGACCAAGACCGATGCAAACAGTTAAAATGAAAAGAGCGGGAACAGGTTATGAACGAGTTCCCGCGACGCACGGTTTTTTCTCTTTGAATTCAGTCACAATAAGGGAATGTACCCCTTAGAGTACATGGCTAGCCTAGGACCTTTCGTATTCTCCTGTACTCTTATATAAACCCGATGTATGCATGTTATTATCATCTCAATCATTTACATTCACTCTGACCTGAGGTCTAAACTTCCGTTGCAATACCACTCTGCGATCAACACTGAGCGATCCTTTGCTAAGTCCCACTTGGGATTGTAACATGGTATGAGAGCTACTCAGGGATTCTTCGCAACTTCACTTCCGTAAAACTCGCCGAATCAAAACCTGGCGAGCGGCACACGCTCCAAGACCAAGATGGCCGGAGGATCCGGAGGCCAAGCAAATCTGACGGCTGAAGGACAACCCAATCCAGCTGCGACAAGTGAGGCGACAACCACGATCGGCACTGCCGCCCTCGAGCAACTTTTCGCTCGACTTTCAACTATGGAGAAAGAACTCCAAGAACTGCGCAAAGGCGATGCGGGAAACTCCTCCCAACCAGCACAACCTGGACGACCGGCTGAGAAAAGCCGTGATACCGCCGCGCACACCTTTGTGAAAGTTTGAAGAAAGAAGAGGGGTTGCACTAGCAAGAATGGGGATACAAATAGCAAACCCTAGAAGGGTTGTACTTGTCGAGAGTTGAACGAAGAATGAGAGAAGATTAAGTAGGGCCTAGGCTTAGTAGCCTAGGCCCAAGTAGGATATCGAGCGGGTTTCTCCTAGGCGAGGTATCGAGTGAGTTGGAAGAGAGAAATTGGGAAGAATGGTGTTTCACTATAGGGTTCGAAGTACATATAGCATAGGAAACAAATAAGGTGCACCACCAACCACAGTTTAAATAACTACATTAACTACAGCTCCAAGCAGTTATAAAAGATGACAAATATATTTCGACACGCCCCCATAATGCTTGTAGGTAGAAATGTAGTTACGCCATGCAAAAGAATAACAAGCAACAGCATGTACTGCAGGCGGGCTAACATTGAATAGTTACCCCCTCCATCTCCTCACCCTCCTCCTTCCCCTCCCCCACACTGCTGCAGGAGCAGCAGAGAAGGGGGGAAGAGAGGAGAGGTGGAGGGACGGCTGCATGTTGCCTCACACCCGCCACCCCGGTACCACTCCCCCTGCTCCCCCACATCCTCACACCCTCCCCCCCCCAGCGGCAGCTGCAGCGGTGGGACTGAAAGAAGGAGGAGGGGAAGGGAGAGAGTTGACCCAACACTCCAACACCCGCCACCCCCATACCCTCCTCCCCACGGCTGCAGGGAGACAAAGGAGGAGGGGGGTGGGCGGGAAGAAAGCCGCAGAGCGGCTAAACGGTGTCGGCGCAGATGGATCAGTGGCGGCTTCAGGGAGAGCAGGGGCGGAAAGGCCCGTCGCGTGCCAGTGCTACGGGGCGCACGACGGGTAAGATAAGAGCAAGGGCCCGATCGTGTGCCTCGGGGCGCACGACGAGCAGGGCACCATCGTGTGCCACGGGGCGCACAATGGGCAGGTTAAGGGCACCGTCGCGTGCCACGGGGCGCGCGACGGGCAGAAAAGGCGTCACACGCCAACCGGGGGCGGGACAAGGAAAAATTCGTCACGCGCCCTAGGCGCGCGACCAGAAAATCGTGAGGCGGAAACGTGAGGCCAGAACGAACGTCGCTCTGATAACATGTCGAGAGTTGAACGAAGAATGAGAGAAGATTAAGTAGGGCCTAGGCTTAGTAGCCTAGGCCCAAGTAGGATATCGAGCGGGTTTCTCCTAGGCGAGGTATCGAGTGAGTTGGAAGAGAGAAATTGGGAAGAATGGTGTTTCACTATAGGGTTCGAAGTACATATAGCATAGGAAACAAATAAGGTGCACCACCAACCACAGTTTAAATAACTACACTAACTACAGCTACAAGCAGTTATAAAAGATGACAAATATATTTCGACAGTACTCGCTATAGAGCACCCCACTACAGGCTAGAGCATAAGATAACATTCTGACACACCCCCATAGCCAAAGTGGGGTGTAATCAGCAGAGAAAGCAAAGCATAACAAGCTCAGGGTGGATCACAATGTTACCACACATTCTGAGCACAAGTTCAAGAAGCAATAGTTTAAAGTTAAGAATCATGAGCAAAGCTAGAGGCTATCGCAAAGGGCAAGTGAGGAGGAGGAGGAGGCGAGAGTGAGAGGAAAGGAGATAGGAGGCGACGGATGAAGCTGCAGACACACGGGCAACAGGAGGCAGACTGGCACAGCGGCTACCGGACGAAGCCCCCGGACTACAGGGGTAACTGGCCCCGCGGCTAAAGTAGCGGCAGACGAGCAACGGACCCACGGGCGGCTGGCACAGCTGGCTACGAATGAGCTACCGGACGAAGCCCCCGGACTACAGGTGCTGCTGACGACACGACGGCAACCTCCATGCAGCTTCCCTAACTATCCAACTCCCCCTGGCACACACCCGCTGCTACACCGCTAGCTCCACTCCCACGCACCCCCCTTAAACCCTAAACCCCAGTCTCCCACTCATCCACCCCCCTCAGCGACAGCTGCAGCAGTGGGAGACGAAGGATGAGGAGGAGCAAAGGGAGGAAGGCACAACTGCCACCCCCATACCCGCCACCCCCTACTCGCCACCCCCTAGGTCGCAAGCGGCCCCCTCAGGTCGCCTCGACAGGCGACGGGAAAAGGGGGGGGGGGGGGGGGGGGTGGGTGCACGTGCCGTAGGTAGGGCGACGGGGTCGGGCCTGTAGGGCGGCGGGACGACGGGGCCGCAGGTAGGGCGGCGGGGCCGGGGCCAGGGCCGCAGGTAGGGTCGCCCGAGCCGCGCGCGGGCCTGGCGACGCCCGTACGGGTCGCGCGCGGGCCTGGCGCAGCCCGTACGGGTGGCGCGCGGGCCTGGCGCAGCCCGTACGGGCCGCGGACGGGTCGGGCGCGGCCCGTACATGCCGCGCGCAGGCCACGACGGGCGACGAACGGGTCCCCGTTGCCCGTCGCGGCGCCGCCCAAGGGCGACGCGCCGGTCGACGGGGCAGAAGCCGGCCGCGCGCCTCGGGGCGCACAGCGGGCAGAGAACCGCCGCGCGCCTCGGGGCGCACGGCGGGCAGAAAACCGCCACGCGCCTCGG